TATTGGTGGGTCTCTCGCTTACGTCTTCGTCACTTTCACTATCAAAAAAGAGTTCTTTATCAGTTTATTCAACTAGGAGTATATCTAAGTCGTAACTATTAAGATTGTCATCCCACGAAAAAATAAAATGCTTCGCTGGGGCGCAGCTTGATACGACCGCAGAGGTCGAACCCTGAACAGTTGGGGCAAGTATGGACACAAAATTCAAGCTTGATACAGCTATGACTTTGGATTGTCATTAAATATTTGACACAGCATAGGTTTCTGACACAGGATGAATGTGGTGTAAGAACTGGAAAAAATTTAATTTACCTATTATGGTGGAATATCCATAAACTAAATTGTTTGTTAATTTCAATATATCAAAGAATATGTAGAATTCAATGTTTGATGTAATGTAATAAAGTTGAAATTTGGACCGTTTTTGTTCAATGTGGACCAATTTGGTAACATGTATAAATAATCAAAAATCTAAATACATGGGAGCCCATTTAAATACATCATAAAGGTATTAAAATAGAAAGTGACATCATAGTCATGGCTAAAAATAAACAAAAATCCTTAATCAGCAACATTTAAAGTAATATCTAAAAATAAAATTCCTTTGTAACCATAAAAGCCCATTTAAATACATCATAAAGATATTAAAATAGAAAATGACATCATAGTCATGGCTAAACACAGCAAAAAACCCTTAATCAGCATCATTTAACAGTAATATCTAAAAATGGAAATTACATCATAAAGGTATTAAAATAGAAAATGACATCATAGTCATGGCTAAAAATAAACAAAATCCTTAATCAGCATCAGCAACATTTTATAGTAATATCTAAAAATAAAATTCCTTTGTAACCATAAAAGCCCATTTAAATACATCATAACAGATATTAAAATAGAAAATGACATCATAGTCATGGCTAAACATAGCAAAAACCTTAATCAGCATCATTTAACAGTAATATCTAAAAATAAAAATTTCTTTGCAACCATAAAAGTAAAAAAGAAAATGACATCATAATCATAGCTAAAAATAAACAAAAATTTTTTTTATTGGCAAATTTTAAATGGAGTTTATTATACTAAAACAATAAATTTGCAACCATAAACATGATAAAACCCCATTTAAACACATCATAAAAGTATTAAATAATTCAACTACATCATAAGGCTATAAAAATAGAAAATGACTTCATAGTCAAGGCTAAAGGTAAACAAAAAACCTTCATCAGCAAAATTTTATATTGGCAAATTTCCAATGAAGTTTATTACACTAAAATTGTTGGCAAATTTCCAATGCATTTATTAACAATAAAGTTATTGGCAAATTTCCAATTTACATAATTTAAAAGCAGTGTAGATGAGATATTTAAATGAGTTTGAATTACCAACCTTACACTGCTTTTAAATAATGTTCTTTACTCAATTATTTGTCTATTAAAATGGAAACCCTTGTTTTTTAACCTTTTTTCCCCTTATTCCTTAAACATTAGAGCCATAACCACCCCCCCCCCCCCCCCCCCCCCAAAGCCAATTATTACTTTCCAATGTAACTTAAATTTCCAATATACATAATTTTAAATTTCAATTCCTCATGATATATAACCGTATCATTATTATTTTCTTTCATATATAAATCTGAAACAACCATCTTTAAATGGAAAATTTTAAAGAAAAAAAAAGGAAAAAAAAAAATCCTACCTCCCACACATTTTTTCAACCCCCTTTTGATTCATCATCCCCCACCTCAATCACAACCTTCAATTTGTGGTATGGTACATTGCAATACAATTTCACAGAGATCCATACACTTGAACACAAGTTTTTGTTGCAAACTAAAAAAATCCTTATTTTTGACCAATATTTGGCCCCTTATTCATAAATGTTTGAGCAATTAACCCCAAAACTCAATTCCTACTTTCTCTTCGTGATAAAAAATAACTAACTTAAAATGTAAATTTTAAACAAAAAAAAAAGGAAAAAAAAAATTACCCCTTTTTTGACCCCCGCCCCCCTTATGATTCATCACCCCCACCCCCCTTTCCCCCCAAACCAAGCTCAATAACAGCCTTGCCTTTGTGGTATGGTACCTTGTAATACAATTTTAGAGAGATCCATACACTTGAACACAAGTTATTGTCTAGAAACTAAAAAATGCTTATTTTAAACCCCTTTTTAGGCCCCTTATTACTAAACGTTTTGGGCAATTACCACAACACTCAATTCCAGCTTTCCCTTTGTGAAATGGAACCTTGTAGTAAAATTTCAGAAAGATCCATACACTTACACACAAGTTATTGTCATGAAACTAGAAAAATGCTTGTTTTTTGCCCCCTTTTGGCCCCTTATTCCTAAAATTTTGAGGCAATTAACCCCAAAATCAATCCCAGCATTGACCCTTTGTGATATGGAATCTTGTGGTACAATGTCAAAGAGATCCATATGCTAACACACAAGTTATGTCTGGAAGTTACAAAAATGCTTATTTTCGGCCCCTTTTTGGCCCCTAATTCCTTAACTGTTGGTACCATAACCCCCAAAATCAATCCCCACCTTCCTATTGTGGTATTGAACCTTATGGTAAAATTTCATAGAGATCCATTCACTTAAACTAAAGTTAGAGTGCGAAAACCATTGTGTATTCGGACGACGACGCCGGACGACGACGACGACGACGACGACGACGCCAACGTCATACCAATATACGACCTCAAAATTTTTTTGCGGTCGTATAAAAATCAGAATTTTTCATATTGCGTGCACATGAATGAAGCTTTATTTAAATGAGAAATTAATTGTAATTTTCTTAAATATTAATTCTTAATACACACTTCGAACATGAAGAAACCATAAATTTACCAACAATCATTTAAAAAAACAACTCAATGCAAGCCAATTATGAAACTGTCAAACAACACTTAGAAATCAAACATTTACCGACAATCCTAAAGAAAAAACTCAATGCAAGCCCAATTAATGATGAATATAAAAATAAACAAAATTTTAATAATTTATAAATATCAACAGTCAGGGGACTTACTTAAATGAGTGATTTTCTAAATCACTGATTCAAGTAACATTATGTCTATAAAGGTTGGAAGTAAGAGTTGTCTTTCTTTAATAATCACCTATTTAAGTAGCACAAATTTTAAAATCACTTGACTAAGTGATTTAATTTTATTGTAGCTTTAAATATAGAATACTAATGATCCAGGGACTAATTATGTTGCTAAAATTATCAGAACCAACATCTGTGTTGATAGGATGATCGGGTCATGTCAGGTGATGACCTTGTACAAAATCTAGGATAATGACATAAAAATCACTTGTTTAAGTATCATACCTCAATTTCCTTCCAAAAAATCACTTCTTTAAGTATCATTATTTTAATAACCCCCACTAATTTCAACACCCCCGAACAGTGAAATTTTGATCGCGAACAGTAGAATTTTATTACATAATCTATAAGATGAAACCTTGAATTTTACAGGAAAAATACTCCCACTGCTGGGAAAAATCTGTTAAGAAAGTATCAGTTCATTTTGTAAATCCATTTTTATAGCATTTTTTCAACCAAAACAGAATTTGCAGCTAAATGATTGCATCAAAGGCATAAACCTTGCTGCTAAAAGGAAGCAAAAAGTTCATTTTTTTCAATTTTACTAATGAAAAGATATTATCTAAACCTATGTGTTTAAAATTTTGGAAAACTACAAAATCACAATTTGTGACAAAACTTTGAATTTGCTACTTAAATAAGTGATTTAAAAATCACTTATTTCAATAAGTCCCCCGACTGATCAAGAATAAAAGACAAAGCCCATCATGATTAACAATTAATTAACAAATTAAGTTTTTTTTCCACATTCATTAATTTTACATTTTGTGAATTGTATTTTTGGAAAGAGTGTGGACACCTGTGGTGTAACAATTTCTTGTTTACAAGGTGTCAATTAAAACTCATAATTTATAACATGATCGTGATTTACCTGGTCATCGAATAATTCAAACCTAATATACATGTCACACTGTGAAATTATGTCTCCGAGACAGGTGTATATTCAATAGCAACCCATTATGAAACTATCAAATAAAATGAACTCTGATACAATTTATCAAGTGTTAACTATTTAATATCAATTTTGTTGAATACAATATCAAATTATGTCTCTTTTTCAATAATACAAATCTAAAATCAAAATTACATTAAAATAAATAATTATATACGAACTCAAATTATTTAATTAATTATTATAAATTTAACACTGAAACAATTTATGTTATGCTTATATATATAATTAAACATTCGTCCAGTACTTTTGATACTTTTAATAATGACTTTATTACCTAAGGAGATCTCACGAGGTTTCACTAGTGGCCGCATGTTTTTACGGGATTTCGCCGAGTTGCAAATCTCTTGTATTATATGTCTCTGCATGAATGCAGGTTAAAAACCAGACTCCAAATGTTTCACAAAGTCACCAACAATAAAATTGCAATACCATCGCAAGATATACTTGTAAAAAGCCAGTCTAAAACAAGATCTACCCATCAACAAACATACAGACAACTTCAATGTAACAAAGACAGCTTTTAATTTTCATTCTTCAGCCAAACAATCAAAAAATGGAACAAATTACCACCAGATATCTCAAACCAAAGCTCTACAGACAACTTTAAGGATGCACTCACTCATGAGGTGCTCCTTAAAACATTCTCTCACTTAACCTAAATGTGCTTATTGTTTTTATCTTAGAAAAAAATATATATATATATAAAAAATGTAAAAATTAAAAACTTATAAAAATTGTAAATTTCATAAATAAATAAAAGAAAAAATAGAAATTAACTCAAAACGACCTCATACAGGCATGCGCCGGAAAGTAATCCTCAAAAAGTTGATGGTATTCCATAACTAAAGAAGAAGAAGAATGAATTATGGAAAAACAACCTGTTACCATTATGTATTAAAGTTCTATTTCAGTTTTGTAAAAGGATACTGCTGTAACCCAAAAATTTGGTATGTTCTTTATTAGCTCATTCCTTTTCTCATAATGTGGTTTCCTTAGCTTGTTATATTTTTGCTCTACTTGAAGAATTTCTTCGCTAGCCTTCTCATTCAGGGCATCGATTTCGTTCTGACAACCATCAATATCTTCCAGTGCTTTTTGTCTATAAAAATCAAGGCTTTGTTCTACGTCATTGACATCGTCTGACAAGGTATCTGAGAGTTTTTGTACTTTGGCAAGTGGTTGGACAGACTCATTAGAATTAGCCATGTTGCAATTTTTCAACCTTTCTTACTTTGTTTATGTATACACTAAATATTTGAATATGTTCCTATTTTGCGCGAATGCGAATGGAATACACAAATCTTTAATTTTGTGAGATTCATTACGATTGGATAATATTGTAAACCGGATGGTGTTTTCCCAAATATTAACTAATCAACAACAGTTTAACAAAATCATGGTTTTTATGGGAGATAACTCTTTACCTTACTCTGAAAGGCATCAAAATGGCCGACTACGACCCAGAAAGAAATGATGAAAACAGTGACAATATCTTTGAAATCTTGCAAAAACAAAACATTGCTCAAGTGACAACCCAAGCATTAGAAGGGATTAAACACGAAAACACAAATGGAAATATTCTAAATGCAAAGAAATCGAAAGTTTTTAGAAATCTACCAGGTCTGCAGGTTGCACATGTTGTGAAGGAAGAAACAAATAACGAAGAGACATCATCAGATCCAAAGAGACCGCGTTTAACTGGTCTTCCTGTTACAAATACACCAGACACTTGTCCTAGTCCAGACACTGGTAAGAGGAGGAGGATACAGCACGATTACAGACGACTATCTAACTCTGGGTACTTAGATGATTATGTCAGTGGTAGGGAAAGGAGATTCTCCTCAGCAAGTGATAATTCAGATCTAAGTATGTCACCATCACCACCAAAATTGAAGACACCTGTGTCACCAAGTATAAAACTGGTTGCACCAAGTGATTTGTCGCAGAATAAAGGTACTGTTGACTGTTGTTCTGTACAATAATCAGATAGCATTGTTTTTTCTATAAGGTTAATCTCTAAATTGAAGACAGCTGGTATTACATATGAAAGATATCATTAATGTTAGCTTTGGTATAATCTGGAAATGTAGTTTCTATGCATATTGTTAATATGTATGTTCATGTACATGTATGCAGTGTTACTTATAGCAGTTAAGTACATGTACAAAATGTACATACATGTAACCCTATTCATGAAGTTATTATAAATACAGAAAATTTCAGGTCATTATAATTGTATAAAAAATACATGAGTTACAATGTATCTCATCTTATCTTTGTTAGGTTGGTGTCCCCTGAAATAACACATTGGTCAGGGATCTCCATGGATGAACATTTAATGATGGGGGGGACTTTCACCATGACAAATCCCGCGTCTACGGCATGTCGTGATTGAAAGTAAAGTATTTCATTCCTCCATATCTATGTAATGAATGGTGAACAGACTGATATATTGCTTATTATATTTATTTCATTATAGAATAGCCAATATTTTCATTAATCATTGTTAATTGTCATTTGTAACAATTCCAATATCAAGCCTGCATGGCTCCCCCTTTGTCAAGAATGACCACAAGTATGACAAGCTGTCCTTGGCTTAAGGTTCCCAATTCGTTATCTTGCTATTTTGGTAATTGTTTAGGACTAACACAATTTACAAATCGGGGGATCTTTTTTTTCACTGTCAAATTCAGAAGTCATGAACCGGTATCGAAGATTTGAGGCATCAACAACAAGAAGTTTTGTACCAAGGGCTTTAAAACTGTAATCAGGAGGACCCTTTGGATTATGATACAACACGGTTATGCAATTTATTTTAACTGCCAACAAAAATTGTGGCTAGCGAAACGAAAACAAATTTAGACTATGGGGGAAGACAATTTAACGATGGAGGTATACGTACACCATCAGAAAACAAGTCAAGGAGATCCCTGCATTGGTGAATGACAATTAATGGAAAACTACCTATTTTTGTCAAATTTGCCATTTCTCATTTCATGATTTTAATATCTTTAATATTGTTTCAGTGTCATGAGTGTGTGCACATGAATTAAATCTTCAATTTTCACCATCACACATGTTTTAATGCTTTCATGTTGATGCGGCCCCAATTTAAAAACATTTATAAGGGATTAATTTTCAACCCTTAGATTCTCAAGTATTGGGAAAACATGGCTAAGCAATATTTTCCATTCTCTATTCTATTTTCTGGTTTAATTAATTTGCTAATGATTTTTCCTTTTAACTCAAGAAATCTACATGTACTGCGAAAACATGTTTATTATAAGTAACTGCGCAAGGCCTTCAAGAAATGCTCCCTGGAGGCTTGTAAATAAGCAGTATTTTGAAGATTACTGACAAATGAGATTTTCATTGTCCATGAAATTATAGTTTTATTAATACAATGTAATAAACGACACCAAAACACTCTAATAGAGTAATGTACAAAAAATGTAGTAAAGAAAAATTCCAGAAAAGAAGTAAATAAGACTTTTTTACTTGTATCAGTAAAAAAAATCTGAATATTTAAAAGGTATATAACTCTGCCTCCAAAATAATTTACCTGTAACAGTAAATAAAAAACACATGTATAAGTAGTATACCTGACTGACATATACATGTATCTTATTATAATGGTAGGACTGGTATTTGCATGCTTTTAAGAGGCGGTTACATTTCAGAAAATGGGGGTGGAGCTTCAGTTATGGAATAACATCAAAATGAACATGTTATACCATATAGATTAGCTCCGCCTACTTTCCTCTTAGATTCTAATGGGTTTCATGTTAAGTTATCAAAGTATGTACATGTATGGTACAACATAAAATTGCAGGTAATATACCATGGTTTTCCCTCAATACACTTTTTAAGCAAATTATTTCATTAAAACATCAAAAGAAAAAATGCAATTTATATTACAAATGTAGTTATAATTTTCTTGTTTTTTTTATTACTATAGTCACTTAAAGGTCTGCTGGGCCTAAATTAATATTAAAATCAAATTAAATAACGGAGTCGTTTGTACGAAAAGCTATGAGGTAAATTTTTGTACAATACCTTGAAAATTAACAATAAAACAAAACTTACCGCCATCAGAATAATGTTAAATATCCATGTCAGAGGCAGATTAAGTGGGTAGGGGGCTTTATGGAGCTACATATATGGTTAATGAATTGAATTTTTACATGTTCCATTCCAACTGTTGCATTATTTGCCCACCACTATTTTCAAAATCTTGGATCTGCATCTGCTTGAACATCAAACATTACAAATCTGCACGTGTGCCAGACGACCATTATAAGTCAAATGCAATAATGACTTTCGCGAGCAGCCATCTCATTGGATAATTCGGTAACGTGATCAGTGTCTTATATTTGTTCAAGCTGTCAATCATTCTATTTATATTACAAATTATATATACCACATGTTATATTCATTATATAATTAACATATTTAAACAAACTCATCCTTCAGATTTGTTTGTTTAAATATGTTAACTCGTAAGAACCATGGTATATATAGTACTTATTTTCTTTAAGGGAAGGAGACCAGGACTTTTCATATTCAGGGATCTTTGATAGTTATTTTCTTTGCGGGGAGGAGTTAAGGACTTTTTTCATTCAGGGATGTTTGATTTGTAGTTATTTTTCTTTGAGGGGAGGAGGCCAGAACTTTTCCCATTCAGGGATCTCTGATCAGCATTTATTTTCTTTGAGGGGAGGAGGCCAGGACTTTTCGTATTCATGGATCTTTAATGGATACCTATTTTCTTTGAGGGGAGTAGGCCAGGACTTTTTGTATTCATGGATCTTTAATGGATACCTATTTTCTTTGAGGGGAGGAGGCTAGGACTTTTCGTATTCAGGGATCTTTAATGGATACCTATTTTCTTTGAGGGAAGGAGGTCAGGACTTTTCATGTTCAGGGATCTTTGATGGATACCTATTTTCTTTGAGGGAAGGAGACCAGGACTTTTCATATTCAGGGATCTTCGATTGATACTTATTTTCTTTGAGGGGAGGAGTTAAGGACTATTTCCTTTAAGGGATGTTTGATTGGTATTTACCAGAGACCAGGACTTTTCCTATTCAGGGATCTTTTATCAACATTTATTTTCTTTGAGGGGAGCTCGTGGAGGGCAGGACTTTTCCTATTCAGGGATCTTTGATTGACACATATTTTCTTTGAGGGGAGGAGGCCAGGACTTTTCTTGTTCAGGGATTTGGTTGATATGTATACTTATTTTCTTAGAGGGGAGCTCAATGCAAGGAGACCAGGAATGCTCAGGTTTTGATAAATGTTCTGCACAGCATGATAAGGATGTTTTATAAACATGTACATGTAGATAGTAACTTTTATACTTTGATTTTTAAAGACACATCTAAATCTGCATGTATGTCAATATAATAGGCTATATATAGCTAGCTATAGCTATGATAGAATGGCTAGGGGTTGAACATGGCTTTGCCAAATGTGAATTATTTTAAAGTTTATCTGGTGACATTTCTGGCATGGAAAAATATATTTTAAAGCATTTAAAACTTTTTTCAAAATTAATTGAAATCTTACACATGCACACAGATGGCATTATACAGCCTTCTTATACTTTAGGGGTCCCTGTACCATTGGGTCATGGTTCATTTAGCATGTTTATAGTTCGGTAAGGGTTTAGGGTTAGAGTAAGTGTTGGGTTAGGTATGGGTTAGAGTTAGGTTGAGGATGAAGGATAGATATGTGTACGTGTTGTACGGGTGTAGTTCTATGTACATTATATATATGTAGGTTGCAATGGGGACCCATAAAGTGAAAGAAGTTCCACTAAAATAAATGATTTAAAAAAAATTGATCTATGACTTCCATTTCCTTCAAGTTAAACCAATAAACTATCAGAAGTACTCCCTTTTTTTAGCTCACCTGGTTCGAAGGGCCAAGTGAGCTTTTCTCATCACTTTGCGTCCGTCGTCCGTCGTTGTCATCGTCGTCATCAGGCGTCGTCTGTTAACTTTTACAAAAATCTTCTCCTCTGAAACTACTGGGTCAAATTTAACCAAACTTGGTCACAATCATCATTTGGGTATCTAGTTTAAAAAATGTGTCCAGTGATCTGGTCAACCAACCAAGATGGCCGCCATGGCTAAAAATAGAACATAGGGGTAAAATGTAGATTTTGGCTTATATCTCTGAAACCAAAGCATTTAGAGCAAATCTGACATGAGCTAAAATTGTTTATCAGGTCAAGATCTATCTGCACTGAAATTTTCAGATGAATTGGACAACCCGTTGTTGGGTTGCTGCCCCTGAATTGGTAATTTTAAGGAAATTTTCCCGTTTTTGGTTATTATCTTGAATATTATTATAGATAGAGATAAACTGTAAACAGCAATAATGTTCAGCAAAGTAAGATCTACTAATAAGTCAACTTGACCAAAATGGTCAGTGGACCCCTTAAGGAGTTATTGCCCTTTATAGTCAATTTTTAACCATTTTTCGTAAATTTTTGTAATCTTTTACAAAAATTTTCTCCTCTGAAACTACTAAGACAAATTTAACCAAACTTGTCCACAATCATCATTAGGATATCTAGTTTAAAAAATGTGTCCGATGACCCTGCCCGCAAACCAAGATGACCGACATGGCTAAAAAATAGTACATAGGGTAAAATGCAGTTTTTGGCTCATATCTCTGAAACCAAAGCATTTAGAGCAAATCTGATGAGGATAAAATTGTTCATTAGGTCAGGATCTATCTGCCCTGAAATTTTCAGACCAATCAGGCAACACTTTGTTTGGTTGCTGCCCCTGAATTGGTAATTTTAAGAAAATTTTGCAGTTTTTGGTTATTATCTTGAATATTATTATAGATAGAGATAAACTGTAAACAGCAATAATGTTCAGCAAAGTAAGATCTACAAATAAGTCAACTTGACCAAAATAGTCAGTTGACCCCTTAAGGAGTTATTGCCCTTTATAGTCAATTTTTAACCATTTTTCGTAAATTTTTGTAATCTTTTACAAAATCTTCTCCTCTGAAACTATTAAGACAAATTTAACCAAATTTGTCCACAATCATCATTAGGGTATTTAGTTTAAAAAATGTGTCCGATGACCCTGCCCCATACCAAGATGACCGACATGGCTAAAAAATAGTACATAGGGTAAAATGCAGTTTTTGGCTCATATCTCTGAAACCAAAGCATTTAGAGCAAATCTGACATGGGGTAAAATTGTTCATTAGGTCAAGTTCTATCTGCCCTGAAATTTTCAGACAAATCAGGCAACACTTTGTTGGGTTGCTGCCCTGAATTGGTAATTTTAAGAAAATTTTGCAGCTTTTGGTTATTATCTTGAATATTATTATAGATAGAGATAAACTGTAAACAGCAATAATGTACAGCAAAGTTAGATCTACAAATAAGTCAAACATGACCAAAATTGTCAATTGACCCCTTAAGGAGTTATTGCCCTTTATAGTAAATTTTTTACAATTTTCATAAATTTTGTAAATTTTTGTAAATTTTTACAAAATATTTTCCACTGTAACTACCGGGCCAAGTTCATTATAGATAGAGATAATAGTAAGGAGCAAGAATGTTCAGTAAAATAAGATCTACAAACACATCACCATCACCAAAACACAATTTTGTCATGAATCCATCTGTGTCCTTTGTTTAATATGCACATAGACCAAGGTGAGCGACACAGGCTCTTTAGAGCCTCTAGTTTTTATTAAACAAGTTATCATTGTTCTTCCCAAACAAGAACTTGTTGGTGATCAGGTACATTGTCCAGCTGACCCTTTGGGGACCAATCAAAGTACATGTAATGTAAGAAACTTTATTTGTCTGTTCTTTCAGCCAACGAATCAGTTTGATATTTTGATTATTTTTCTTTTAGTTGTATGCCACATGGTAAAAGAGCACAAGTTACCTGATACAAAGATGAAAGAAGAAAAATCAGTATCCAATGGAATTGACAAGGCTGATGATAAGAAGGATTCTGTTGGCAAATGTAATGGGGGAGTCAGTTATCATGATACTAAGCGATCAGTGAAAGACGAAAGTCAAATTAAAACCTCTAAATCAGATGAAATTAAAACAGAAAAAGAAGGAGCTAGTGATAAGAGTCCTGTCAAAAGTCATAAAAATGAAAGTTCTGTCAAAAATGAAAGTCCTGTCAAAAATGAAAGTCCTGTCAAAAATGAAAGTCCTGTAAAGGAAAGAAGTAGTAAAACCCCATCAAAGGAGGGGCATCATCACTCAAAGCACCACCATAAACATAAACATAAACACAAGCACCATAATTCTCACGATAGAACACCCGTCAAGCAAGAGGAATCAATCTCAAGACCGAAGAACTTTGATATAAGGATGTCACCTGATGTACGAAGTTCACCAGATATACACAACTCACCATATAAAACAGAGGATGATCCTATATCTCACAATAGCATAAGAATCTTAGGGAAGAAAAGAATCCTCAATAATTGTGGCATTCAGGTTTGCCTTAAAAGAAGAACTGAAAATAAATGTATACAGGTTTCTCTAAAAGGATCAAAAGATCATCAGTCATCATCACATTCCTCCTCAAAGTCAGAAAAACACCGTGAGAAATCTAAGGAACATCGATCATCTCGTGAGCCCGCAATAGATCATAGATCCTCTCATGAGTCTTCAGGCACGAGTAAACATCATGAGAAATCTAAAGACCACCACACATCATCTTCACATTCTTCATCAAGTAAACATCAAGAGAAATCAAACAAATATGGCAGCCATTCAGCACCAAAGTCTGAAGATAAAACTAAAGCTTTGGTGGATCTCATGCAAAATAAGAACCTTGAATCCAGTAAAGATTACAGATATCGTAAATTCAGAAGTACAAAATACACTGATGAGCCATTTGCTAATTCAAAATTTCGTAAATTGTTTCATTTAGAAAAATGTTCCAATGGTGGTGGACTTGTTCTTCATGTATATCAAGATGAGCTTAGAAATCTAACGGCCGATGAAATGACAAAATTTGTGTCAGAATATTTTGATTTCGTTTATGGTGAATATCCAGAGGGAGTTGGGAACTGTGTCATGGGTATAGTTCATAGGTCAGCAGTGAACATGCCAGATTTTATTGATTATTTTTCGGAAAAGTTCCCCACTTTACACTGCCAATCAGGACTAATGGGTAAATCTGACATTGAATCCACCACAATCTCCAAATATCGTGAGAACATGATGAGTACATATAAAGATGGTACTCATCGCTCAGGTCCACTGATGCAGATAAGTGTAGTAGGAACAGTGCATGAAGAAGTTGGGGATTATTTCCCAGACTTTTTGGACATTGTTGAACAGAATCCTTTTTTAAAAGCACTAATGCCTTGGGGAGAGCGATCTGTAGTGGCAGGTATGGCAAGGAACTTAAGTAATGATGGTCCTATATTATGGTCTCGACCTGGTGAACAGATGGTTCCAACAGCTGATATGCCTAAATCACCATTTAAACGGAAAAGGTAGGATTTATGTAAACTGCAACGCTAGCAGTGGTTTTTAGTGGGAATGATGTGAGCTCATATCCACTAATATTTTGAATCTGGAGATATTTCATAGCTTAGGAATATTGAGGTTTAAAGCATCGTTACTTGTGCAAATGTATCAGATTTGAGCATTGTGTCGGATACTGTACATGTTTAAGACGGTGCTTTCATATATTCATAGGGAAAATTGCTATTAAAACATGATCATATACTTTTTGGAGCTATTTCAGAAAATAAGAGAGAAAAAAATATTTAAGACAATTAAAATGAACAAATAACTAACAAATATATGGTTGCACAAAACACAAAAATAAATAACTTCTTGGCATAAACTATTTCCTAACCATGCTAACCAGTATGTTTCATGGCAAGAGGATGGGGATAACTGAAATCATTTATCATTAATATCACTTTTAATTTTCATCACTAAATTTTAAGAAAAGACAGTTTAGTATAACAGTAGTATATTTGTAGAGTTAACCATATCAAATTCTTTATCAATCTGGATGTTCAAGTGTGCAAAAATCTGTAATTCTGTTAGTTCTTATGTGCGTCTCTAGCAAAACCTACTTATTACACTAAAACCCTAAGAACTTCAAGGAAAACTCAAAATGCATTTTAAATGATTTATATTGCTATTTTCTTACAAAAATATTTTTCAGAGGAGCAAATGAGTTGAAGAATTTGTCATATCTACCTCGAGCTTCTGAGCCTCGTGAAGTATTGGTTGAAGACAGGACACGGTGTCATGCAGATCATGTAGGGCAGGGATTTGACAGACTTACAACAGCCGCTGTTGGTGTGTTAAAGGCTGTTAAAAAATCGGATGAGTAAGTTTTTTAAAGCTTTACTTAAGAAAAACACTTACATACATGTACAATAAGCGGCTATTCTTTCATGTGGTTGTTTCTGATTCTGATGAATTTTTTCTGCAAATTTCCTTTGATTTCTTGTATTTTCAATACATTTTTGGATTTCATTGTGACAATTGAAAATTCCTTAGTTAGTTGTATTCAAGAACAGATTTAGAATATTTTAGCAATGAGATGGGTTTTAAACCTGGAATAACACATACATTTAGATGAAAGATGCTTGTCATCTGCTTAACAAAATTTATATCACATTACATGTATATATATATAATTTAAATAAGAAATTGAATGTATACAGTACAATATTTTGATTGAACCTATTAAGGGCCCATAGAGTGCATGATTACAAACATGACAGTATATCAATAAAAAATATTTACATACAGTAGATAACATGAATATACATTTAAATTTCAACAACAAAATCTTATCAGAACTCAGTCTCCCTTTGCACATTATGTAGCATTGTATTATACACTTTGTCCTAGATACACCTAGCTAGAGATAATATTTAATAAAAATGATATGCACTAAAAGAAAAGAAAAGCATACATCCAGTTTTAACATAGAGAACAACTACAGGTGACTGTACAGAACAAATGACCAAGGGTCGGTCCCTTACTTAAACTGATTGTAAGCAAGAATTGAACCTTATATATATATATATGTTGTGTACAAGTTATCATTTTGTATAAATTATAATTTGTACAAATTATAATTTGTACAAATTATAATTTGTATTTTGACTTTGTACAAATTGTAATTTGTACAAAAATTGCTTGTACAAATTACTATTTGTGCAAAATTTGACTAAAATTAACTTATAACTTGTACAATAATTTATAGTATGGATTATGTTATAAAAAAGGAATTGATACACACTAGAATTTTTATTCAATGATCACACAATAAACCTTATTTACAAAATACAAAAAATAGATCTGTATCATTGTACAAAGTCAAAATACAAATTATAATTTGTACAATTTGTACACAACATATATACATGTATATAATTACTCACTTGATAATAAATGAACCGTGATAATGACATGTCTGTGAATAAATATGACACCACTGCATTTAAACTGATGTCTGAACAAAAACCTTTTTAAAGACTGCAATTTGATACGTTGATAGATGTGTTGGTGGTCTGCTGTCTAATTGTTGTGTACCCCAAATCTCCTTTTATTCCTATACATGTACATGTATATATACACAGTGTATGGTTTGATCATTGTACTATTTGAGTTAGATACTGGTTTGTATATATATGCCATGTGCATGACTCTGCTGAAGTTACAAAATATGATAAAGTCATGTGACATTTTTATACGACCGCAAAAAAATTTTGTGGTCGTATATTGGTATGACGTTGGCGTCGTCGTCGTCCGGCGTCGTCGTCCGAAGACACATTGGTTTTCGCACTCTAACTTTAGTTTAAGTGAATGGATCTTTTTGAAATTTGACCATAAGGTTAAATACCACAAAAGGAAGGTTGGGATTGATTTTGGGGGTTATGGTACTAACAGTTAAGGAATAAAGGGGCCAAAAAGGGGCCAAAAATAAGCATTTTCTAGTTTCCAGACAATAACTGTGGAACGGTGTATGGATCTCTCTGAAATTATACTACAAGTTTCCATACCACAAAGGGATGGTTAGGATTTGCTTTGGGGGGTTATGGCTCAAACCGTTTAGGAATTAGGGGCAAAAAAGGGGGAAAAACAAGGTTGTCCTGGTTAATGGACAAATACTTTAGTACAAAACATAATTTAAAGCAGTGTAAGGGAGATAAATCAAATACATCATTGAAATTATCTCCCTTACACTGCTTTTAAATTATGTATAAAGTAATGGTAAATGAACAATAAAGATAATTTAAAACAGTGTAAGGGAGGTAATCCAAATACAACGTTTTGGTTACTTCCCTTACACTGCTTTTAAATTATGTTTAAAGAAATGCATATTTATAAAGGAAGACCAGTAAAAATATCTGCAAATGTTGCATCTTTTTTCTTACAAAAAAATCCATATGAAAGATTTGACACTATATTTTTAATTCTATTACAAAATAGATTAAGTTAGCACTATGGTAAATTTAAATGGGTAATTATGGTTGCCAACTCCATTGGACATTTGAATTGAGATTATGACCATATCTTGAGGGAAAGAATTTTTTTGGGGAAAAAAGGGGGGATAAAAAGAAATTGTGGGGGGTCAATTTTTTCTCATTTCAGATTTCAGAAATTAAAAAGAATTATTCTTCAAATATTATTTTTTTTTCAAATTTCAAATATTGAAAAATTTCAAGAAGTAATCTTTAATTGCACAGTATGGCGCATTAGATTTGTAAAATCTTTGATCACATTTATTTATTTGTTATGCCGAATCTAACAGTGTATTTATATTTTTAATTTTGGGTCCAGTTTTCAAATTGGTCTACATTAAGGTCCAAAGGGTCCAAAATTAAACTTTCTTTGATTTTAACAAAAATTGAATATATGAGGTTCTTTGATATGCTGAATCTAAACATGTATTTAGATTTTTGATTTTTGGCCCAGTTTTCAAGTTGGTCCAAATTGGGGTCCAAAATTAAACTTTGTTTGATTTCAACAAAAATTGAATATATGGGGTTCTTTGATATGCTGAATCTAACCATGTATTTAGATTTTTTATTTGTGGACCCCGCTATCAAATTGGTTCATATTGAGGTCAAAAGGGTCCAAAATTAAACTTTGTTTGATTTCATCGAAAATTGAATTATTGGGGTTCTTTGATATTCCAAATCTAACCGTGTATTTAGATTTTTAATTTTGGGTCCTGTTTTTTAAATTGGTCTACATTAAGGTCCAAAGGGTCCAAAATTAAACTTAGTTTGATTTTAACAAAAATTGAATTCTTGGGGTTCTTTGATATGCTGAATCTAAACATGTATTTAGATTTTTGATTATGGGCCCAGTTTTCAAGTTGGTCCAAAATTAAACTTTGTTTGATTTCAACAAAAATTGAATATATGAGGTTCTTTGATATGCTGAATCTAACCATGTAATTAGATTTTTTATTTGTAGGCCCCGCTATCAAATTGGTTCATATTGAGGTCAAAAGGGTCCAAAATTAAACTTTGTTTGATTTCATCAAAAATTGAATTATTGGGGTTCTTTGATATGCCAAATCTAACCGTGTTTTTAGATTTTTAATATGGGTCCTGTTTTTTAAATTGGTCTTCATTGAGGTCCAAAGGGTCCAAAATTAAACTTAGTTTGATTTTAACAAAAATTGAATTCTTAGGGTTCTTTGATATGCTGAATCAAAACATGTGTTTAGATTTTTGATTATGGGCCCAGTTTTCAAGTTGGTCCAAGTTGGGGTCCAAAATTAAACCTTTTTTTGATTTCAACAAAAATTGAATATATGGGGTTCTTTGATATGCTGAATCTAACCATGAATTTAGATTTTTTATTTGTGGGCCCCGCTATCAAATTGGTTCATATTGAGGTCAAAAGGGTCCAAAATTAAACTTTGTTTGATTTCATCAAAAATTGAATTATTGGGGTTCTTTGATATTCCAAATCTAACCGTGTATTTAGATTTTTAATTTTAAGTCCCGTTTTTTAAATTGGTCTACATTAAGGTCCAAAGGGTCCAAAATTAAACTTAGTTTGATTTTAGCAAAAATTGAATTCTTGGGGTTCTTTGATATGCTGAATCTAAACATGTGTTTAGATTTTTGATTATGGGCCCAGTTTTCAAGTTTGTCCAAGTTGGGGTCCAAAATTAAACTTTGTTTGATTTTAACAAAAATTGAATATATTGGGTTCTTTGATATGCTGAATCTAACCATGTATTTTGATTTTGGACATTGGACCATAATAGGTAAATTAAAAAAATTCCAAGTTCTTAGACCACATTCTTTCTGTGTCAGAAACCTATGCTGTGTCAAATATTTAATAACAATCCAAATTCAGAGCTGTATCAAGCTTGAATGTTGTGTCCATACTTGCCCCAACTGTTCAGGGTTCGACCTCTGCGGTCGTATCAAGCTGCGCCTCAGCGAAGCATTTTATTTAACTAGGATTTATTCTTCCTAATTTTGTACTTTCATGTAGATTTTATATTTTTTTCTTAGTATTGTTAGTTTTGGGGAAAATTCTCCCGAAACCACAAAAAAAGAACGAATTTTTCCAACAATCAGACAAGTACTATAAATCTGAAATGGTAAAAGTGAAATAGAAAAAAATGAAAGTACTGTTGGAAGAATATTGTTTTGTTGACAGTAATTATAAGATATTTGAATGTAACATTTGGGATATCTTAAATTTATTACAGCACATGTTCGGATAGAGTGGTAAAAGATGTGATTTGTTTTCATCCTGGAGATTTCCCTCAGCTTGTACAGAAGTTACAGCTTGACCTCCATGAACCTCCTGTATCTCAGGTACTACATTTATATAGAACATATAATAACCAAAAAGTTAAATGGGATGAAGAAGTACAGCTGCCAGCACTTCTTTTATCTTACAGTTTGTCTATGGTGGGACTCTACATCTGGTTGCAGAATGTTTAAAGCATACATTCATTTCAGGTCATGTTAAATCAAGTACACTGCTTTGGTCTAGTCATGTTAGAGAAATATTGTTACACTTTATTTCATAGCTATAGGTTTTGTTGGCAATTTGCCCTTAAAATTCAGTGGCAAAGATTTTCTAACTTTGTTAAAGTTTGCCCCATATTTCAGACCAAACTGTTTATTATCTTGAAGGATATTATGTTTTCGATGTACCCATCAGTCTGTCCTATCTTATCATCTTCATTTTGTATCATTGATGGATGAAAAGGTTGGTGTTTAATGTCCAGTGGTAATTGCTACATGCATATCAAGATGAGAGCATGTTCATGTGATAGGAATGTGAAACCTGCATTGTACTAAACCAACACACTGAGCTGGATTTTTAACCTGTTAGTTGACCACACTTTTAGACTTTTCTCCTAAATCCTTCGTGTGAAGGGAGAAGCACCAAATACCTTCAAGTCTTTAGCTTTACCTAGCCAAGGATTAAAACCCACAACCTCCCTCACTCAAGTAGACCACACTTCCACCAGACCACCCAGCATGCCCAGGTGTTCATCTATTATAACTTGTATTGGGCTAATATTTCAGAAGGTAAAAACACATGACAATCCATATTTTGTATGTATATGGAAAATGATCTGAATTTAGGGATAAGTTTAAGTGGTGAGGTTACTTTATCAGTTTCTAAATATATAAACAACAGGACAACTAGATTTGGTCTGGAATGTTATAAAGGTACATATCTAAATGACAGTTTTCAGCTGACCCAGATTTCCTCAGCTTCTATGTTTGGCATAAAAAACCATTATAAGGCATACATATGTGTTTGACAGAGTTCACAAGACCTTGAGCTTTATTCATGGTCTATTGTACAGTGTTATAAAATCTCTTGCTGTTTTTAATTTTTCCAGAAATTGTAAGAATAGGTCATCTGTGTAATCTATAGAATGTAAGTCATACTTACCTATCTGAAAAGATACCGCTTCTGTGGTCTCGTGGTAGTTTGCTTGTCTCAGGTGCAGGAGGTCATGGGTTGGATCCCTTGCCTGGTCACACCAAAGAATTTTTAATTGGTATTTATGGCTTCTCCACTAAGAATGTGGCAATAAGGAGTAATAGCAGAGGATGATTGGCTGAGAGTCAGAATAATGTGTCCAGGACGGCTGACATATCATCCTGTTACCTTGCATTGCAAGCTAGCACATAAAAAAAAAACAGGCTCAGGTTGTTTGTCTAATACAGAGCAGGGTTCATATTCCTATTGCATAGGATGGTGTATTTATATGACGTGATTCTGAAGCGGCGTTAGCCCTGCATAAAAAAACTGCTTACTTTCTATTTCATTTAGTCTATGTATTTAGTTGGCTACTGCTTGACAAGTGCATAAATAAAGCATATTACTAAGACTTAAGACTAGTGTATAAAATCATACTGAACATATGCCGTTATTTTATATTTTCTAGTGCATTACCTGGGTAGAAGATGCAAAGTTAAATCAGTTGCGGAGAGAAGGTATGCGCTATGCCAGAATATCTTTACGAGATAATGATGTTTATTTTATTCCAAGAAATGTAGTACATCAATTCAAAACTGTCTCTGCTGTTACAAGTATTGCTTGGCATACCAGACTGAAGATATATTATCCAGAATTAGACACTGCTATTGAGACAAAGAATGAAGTTAAATCTTCAACCAAAAGGGAGGTAAGCCACATTACAAAAGATGAAAAACATGTGACAAAAGATGAAAAGCATGTACCAAAAGATGAAAAACATGCAACAAAAGACGAAAAACATGCAACAAAAGATGAAAAAAAAGTATCAAAACATGACAAAAGAAAGGAAGAAAAATCTGTTGTTAAACATGATAAAATAAAAGAGGAAAAGCATTCAAAACATGAAGAAAGAAAAAGAGAAGAAAAATATTCATCTAAACATGGAGAGAGAAAGAAAGAAGAAAAAATAGCTGCTAATCAAGTTGAAAAGAGTAAAGACAGTAAGACTGTTACAATATTAAAGGATGACAGTAAACCTATTGCAATATTAAAGGAGAGTAAAAGAGAAGAAAAGTTGTCTGAACAAAAGCATATCATTAGAAATCAGGAAACACAAATTCAGCAAAATGGATGTGTAAATAACCCTTTGGATATTGAAAAGGATAGTAGATATACAGAAGTTGGTATGAGTCAAGGTGGTGACCTTGACAGATATGTCATAGAGGGGCCTGCAAAGGATAGTATAAATACTGAAGTTCCTATGAGTCTAGGTGGTGATAGATATGTCATAGAGGGGCCTGCAATGGAAAGTAGAAATACTGAAGTTCCTATGAGTCTAGGTGGTGATAGATATGTCATAGAGGGGCCTGCAAAGGATAGTAGAAATACTGAAGTTCCTATGAGTCTAGGTGGTGATAGATATGTCATAGAGGGGCCTGCAAAGGATAGTATAAATACTGAAGTTGTTATGAGTCAAGTTGGTGACAGATATGTCATAGAGGGGCCTGAAAAGGATAGTATTAATACTGAAGTTGGTATGAGTCAAGATGGTGACATTGTTAGATATGTCAAAGAGGGGCCTGCAAAGGATAGTTTAAATACTGAAGTTCCTATGAGTCAAGGTGGTGACATTGATAGATATGTCAATGAGGGGCCAGCTAAGGATAGTAGAAATACTGAAGTTCCTATGGGTCAAGGTGGTGACCTTGACAGATATGTCATAGAGGGGCCTGAAAAGGAGAAACACATAATGGAAGTTGAATCATGTTCTGAACAAACTCTAGAAAAGGATGATTGTGAAAAAAATAGTAAAAGTCATGAAACAAGCACAACATTAATGATCAAAGAGCAAGATACTTTACAAATTAGAGAGAAAGAATTTGACAATTTTGCTTTAGATACTTGTGATATGGAAACCGAGGAGAATGGATCAGTAGTTCCTGTTGCAGCAGGTATAGTTTTATCAGAAGGAGTTTGTGAACAACTTTCTGTGAATGAACTTGTGTCAGATGGACAAAAATCTGTATCTCCAGTTACAGAAATGCAAGTTGAACAAATGGAAAATAAAGATTCAACTGAAATCCTCAGAGAAACAATAGCTTTGTCAAAAGAAAATGGTCAACAGGACAGCGCCTTACCAGAAAATCTTCCACAAGTGATTACTGGTACTATTCAAACAAAGCCTGTACGGAAAGATAAACAAAACCTCTTTGAAAACCTTTTTGGCACACAACTAAATGCAAATAACCTCATTTCAGATGGCAGCAGCAATACACAAGACAGTGTGCAATACACACAGAATTCATAGTGTTTGTAAATGCATTGGAGTATGGTCTCGAAATTTATTTATTTATTTTTATATTTGAAATTATTCATTAACCTCAGATCCTAACTTTAAACATTGTGTACCTTTAAATTTTTCAAAATATTCAGGTAGATTTGATTTTTTATTTGATTGACATAAAACGTAACAGATGTTGCTGCCAGAAAAGGAGAAAATGTTATAGATATATAAATTAAAAGTTATGTATGCAAATTCTTAAGTGATCACAGAAATTGATGGTTATTTTATGGATTGAGTCTTATTTATACTATCTGCTACTTAGATCATTTGGATTTATAAGGATAGTTTGTTATTTTTCAAATGCAAATTTCTGTGATGTATTAATTTACATGAATATATTTATACTGTAATGAGGCTAGTGAAACAAAAGGTTGTGAAGATCTGTCGGAATATTAAGAAAACTAATTGTGGGAAAGACAATTTAATTAAACCTGTGTAACTCACAGGAAAATTGTTTTGTTCATCATTACAGTTTGTACAAGAGCTTTATAATCACCATTTAAAGTTAAATGGGTAAAATCAGATTTTTAGAGGAGGAAAAATATAAATCAAAAAACTGAACTAAGGGAAAAATACTTAAGTTATTCTGCATTCAAAATGTGAAGGATTAGCCAATTTCTTAACTATAAATCCTACTGAATGTAAACAGCTTCCCTGAGTGAAAATGCAGTTTGGAAACAGTGGCGGATCCAGAAATTTTCAAAAGTGGGGGCCCACTGACTGCCTAAGAGGGGGACCGCTCCGGTCATGCTTCAGTGATTCCCTATATAATCAACCAAATTTTTCCGAAAAAAAGGGGGCCGGGCTCCCTGGGCCCCCCCTAAATCCGCCTCTGGGAAAAATGAGGCCCTGATTTTGATATGGTGTGTGAAATTCAGAGTGAAACAGATGAAATGTTTCACATGTTCCTGGGTTGACGAAATTAAATATGTGCTCATTATATGATTAAATTCTTGGGCACAAGATTTGATTATATTTGCATCATGTATATATGTATTCATTTTTTTTTGTAACACAGCTAAAATAAATAGATAAATTCATGATAAAATGTTGAAAAAAATTAACTTTGAAAAACAAACAAAATGGAAATTTTGTTAAATAGTTTTATATTTGAGGTCATAATTCCATTTAATCCTGATTATTTGACGAATTAAATTAAACAGGGTTCGTGCTATTGTGTGACTAGGGTAAAGAAGTCACTTTTCCATCTGCCACTTTGCTTTTCCCATGCCAATAGAGATATCTTATTGCCTGATGTTTCAACAGTCGCTTGCATCATCCGTAATTTTAAGTTTTGATGTAACAGCAATTTTTCAATTTTTTTTTTTATTATGTCTTTGGTTAAGAAATTTTCAAAATAGAGGAATGAATATTAAAAAGAAAACTTACCCTGCTTGAAACCACGCTACCACCTACTCGTTTGTTAGACAGGGACTTTAACAAATGGAAGGAGTATATATAACTTATAAATTATCATTTAACAAGTCCCTTTTTATGCCCCACCTAGGGGCATTATGTTTTTCGGTCTGTGTGTCCGTCCGTCTGTTCGTTCGTTCGTACGTCCGTCCATAAATCGCGCTTCAGGTTAAAGTTTTTGATCAAGGTAGTTTTTGATGAAGTTGAAGTCCAATCAACTTGAAACTTAGTACACATGTTCCCTATGATATGATCTTTCTAATTTTAATGCCAAATTAGAGTTTTGACCCCAATTTCACGGTCCACCGAACATAGAAAATTATAGTGCGAGTGGGGCATCAGTGTACTATGGACACATTCTTGTTCATGTTAAATTATATCAAATAAATGTTAAATTTTATATATGAAAACCATATTTAAAAAAAAAAAATAATCATGTGCTGACCTGCAAAATGAATGTGTGCAAGTGTAGATAAAGCTGCCACAAATGTAATGAGTTTTACATGCAAATGTAATGCATGAGGATATCAACTATGTTTGAAATGGAACAGTACGAAATGATTTTTTTTTAATATTTCCATATTTTAATATTTTTGTGAATGTATATCTGTATATAGTACACGTTATATAGCATTTTGAAGTGCTTTTAATTTGATCTGTGAAGACACATTATTTGTTATATTAATTGTTAAAGTTGTTTTTATGTTGAATATGTACATGTTTACATTGTAAATACTTTCTTGTCACATAAGTAATCCAGGGCAAATCATGTCTTAATGTAATTCTACAGTGTGTTATAAATAGTACAGATAGATCATGAAAATCAATTTTATACATTTTGTAAATTTATTCTTTCAGCTTTAATTCTCATTCTGCTCTGAAAATATACATTTAAAATAATATTTGTGATTCATACAGTAAATTGAAAATCTGGGGCCTTTCTGTCAGAGCTAATCATTTATTTATTTTTTTCAATTTTCAAGCTTGATTAAATGAAAACAGGAAAAATTATTATTTCATAAACTCTTTGACTTTAAGAAATTAATTTTGCAATAACTTTAATAATACAACAATGTATTATGTAAGTAAATTTATGTTTGGTAAACATTTTCATTACATAAAAAGATGAGAAAGACCACAGTTTTGAAAACAATTTTATTTTAGAATAATAATTTGGAAAATAAGGCATAATGACATCTTTTGTTTGGAGACTGGAAGCTTTTTCACAAAACAATCTTACCACTAAAATCATGAAAATTGGTTTATTTAACCCTTCTAAAAAAAAAACAAGTTATTTTTTATGCTTGAAATGTCATTCTTACACAAAACAATTTGTTTTGTTTTGCAATGAAATGTATGGTTTATTTTACACAACACTGCAAGTGTGGTAATTGTTTTGTTTATTTACTTATTTTACATGAAACTGCATTCAATGTATTTGAGTTAGTGGTATTACACCTCAGTATATAAGCTGATGCTTTATTTCAAGATCATTTGTGTATTCCAATATAGATAAACACAGATAGGATCAGCTGCATAATGTTATGTTAAAAAAATTGACATGTATGATTCAATTTAGATTGGTCAATTGTTTAAGTACTTCATAAAATGTTGGCATTGTTTTAAACAAAAAAACCACAAAGAAGGGCAAGATATTTCAATAATTCTTGAAGGTTATTTAATTACTATACCCTTTTTCCTATTTTGCACATACATATAAAAAAAAACTTTTTAAATGGGTTTCTTAATCTGAACTTTTAAAAGGTGTAACATTAAAGATTTCACTATTTATGATTAATTGGCAGCTTAAAAGATACATTGCAAGTTCTTCTTTAATAAAAAAAAATCCAATGGTTCTATTGGAAGCTGAGATACATGTACATCCTGTTAGATCAATAATCTTACAAAGTATATAAATTCTTTACAACATGTTCACCAGTTACCTAGACTTAACAAACTCTAGAGTAACATCATCATAACAAAGTTGTTCTAACATTTTGCAGTAGTTAGATCAGTAAAACAATGTCCACACATTTGTCTTTATAATATAAGAGATTATATAAAACCTAGTCTTTGTTATTGTACAGTATTTGTTATTTGTTATCTTTGTATATATTTCTCATCTTATTATGTTACTTGATTTCTGTACATTAAAATATGTCATTTCAATTCTATCATTTTACTATGTCACTTCAGTTCTATGTCAACTGATTATGTCACTTCAATTCTATGTCATTTTACTATGTAGCTTCAATTCTATGTCATTTTACTATGTAGCTTCAATTCTATGTAAACTGATTATTCTACTTCAATTCCAAGTCAACTGATTATGTCACTTCAATTCTATGTCAACTGATTATGTCACTTCAATTCTGTGTCATTTTACTATGTCCTTTCAATTTAATGTGAACTGATTATGCTACTTCAATTCTATGTCAACTGATTATGTAACTTCAATTCTTTGTCAACTGATTATGTCACTTCAATTCTATGATTTCTGATTATGTTACTTCAATTTTATTTCAACTGAGTATGTTACTTCAATTTTATGTCAACTGATTATGTCACCTTAATTATATGTCAACTGAGTATGTTACTTTATTTCTATGTACATTTTTTTCATTTCTTTCTCTTGCCAAATCTGGTTTAGGGGTTAAGGCTATATAAAGCAGTAGAAATAATTATCTTCTCAGAAACAGAGGAATTACAGTACCTAACACTTATAAAACAGTCACTTTCTCATATTCTCTTAAATTAGATACAATAGTTTTATTTCTATGCCACTTTGAATAAGAAAATTGATATGATGTTATACTTGAAAAAAATTCATCACACAGAACCTTTTTCAAAACCCATTTTCACTGCCAAAAAGAAAGCTAGTATGAAAGAGTCAGACATTTTAGATTAACCCTAGAGAATAGATAGATATCTTTATGCATCATGATTTTAGACAATAATATGCATGCAAACATTAATGGGTCTATTTAATGGACTCCTCAAAATCTATTTTGAGACCTCATTGGGCTTATGATGCTATGATACCAGAAAAATTTGATGCCATATTTGACATTACACCAATGAGGAACTGAGAATAGCAAAAAACACAAATTGACCCTAAAATAATCAACTTGTTGAGGAAATATAAATGGCTTTACTAATTAGACTATTATTGTTACTTTTTGCTTCATTTTTCATTTGAAAAATTAGTGTCTGAGAATTGGATAGTTAATTTTACTTGACCTTATTCAGTTTTCATACATACCTTTTATATCAGTTGTTTTTTACGTGGGAAACTAAAGGATAAGAGGAGTAAGGGCTGTATTATTGAAATCTGGTATATTAAATGACTACATGTGTATCAAAGTTTAGTCGATAGAAATATTTTTCTAAAATTGAATTACCAATAGTGCATTTCAATAAGTGTTTGGATGCTTTTGGATTAGAGATTATATTGGTAACAAACAACAGCCAGTTATATATTTTAGTTTTAAAGGAAACATTTAATGCAGAACGCAACCAAATTAGAGATTTTACCAGCATGAGTATATTAATAGATTATAGATTATATTTTTTTCTTATATTGAATCTTTTTTACATGTAGTTTAACTGTTTATATTTCCTAAAACACAATATTGTTCTCAAGAAGGAATTTTTGACATTTTTATCAGAAACCTAGTTAAAGCTCCATTTTAGTAACTTTTGAAATCAATTATTATAGAAATATGAATGTATGTACACTTTGAGTCCCATGTACCTTGGAAAGAAATATATATAATAAATAAATATGATTATGTAGTTACATTCAAGTCAGGAAAATATGTTTTTCAAAAGATCAACAAATCTTTAAAATTTATAAGCAGCAACATGCACATTGATAATGACATTATCGTCTTTTCAAAAATTCAAATAAATCATGCATGTTTAGGATGATAAATCATGTTTGCAAACATTCCATATTTTTTGCTATCAAAGTGTGAATGAAATATTGATGACATAGATGAGAAAAATAAAGTGCAAGTATGTTATCCTGTTAGGTTTTGGTGCAGAAATTTTATGCATATCATATGACACACTGTAGAATTTTAAATTTCTAGAGGCTGTAACTGCATGTACTGGTTTCTAAAACTTTAAAATAGATTAGTTCGGTGATTGCTCATTTCTTCATAGAAAATAAGCCCATCTTTCCTATTTAGTTGCGGTTCTCAGGATTAGATTTTTCACCATTTCCTTTTCTGATGTTAATGAAGACAACACTTTAATAGTTAGAAAAAGATAATAATAGTAAGAAGCCTTCAACAAATGGATTTTGTTTTCTTCATATACATATTATGTATATGATATTTTTTCATTCATTTGTAGTCGGATATTCGTCAAGCTCAAATCTTATTTGGTCATATTTTGTTTTCAATTATTTTTATTTCCTATTAAATGTAGATTCTCTCACCATTTGACATGTTATAACAAAATGTTCAGCTTTCTCTATTGTATATGAGTGTCATACTTACTTTTTATACGACTGCAAAAAAATTTTTGTGGTCGTATATTGGTATGACGTCGTCGTCCGAAGACACATTGGTTTTCGCACTCTAACTTTAGTTTAAGTGAATGGATCTCTATGAAATTTTACCACAAGGTTCAATACCACAAAAGGAAGGTTGGGATTGATTTTAAGGGTTATGGTACCAACAGTTAAGGAATTAGGGGCCAAAAATAAGCATTTTTGTAACTTCCAGACATAACTTGTGTGTTAGTGTATGGATCTCTCTGACATTGTACCACAAGGTACCATACCACTAAAGGAAAGGCTGTGATTGATTTTGGGGGTAATTGCCTCAAAATTTTAGAATTAGGGGCCAAAAAGGGGCAAAAAAACAAGCATTTTTCTAGTTTCAGGATAATAACTTGTGTGTAAGTGTATGGATCTTTCTGAAATTGTACTACAAGGTTCCATATCACAAAGGGAAAGCTGGAATTGAGTTTGGGGGTAATTGCCCAAAACGTTTAGGAATAAGGGGCCAAAAGGGGGCCAAAAATAAGCATTTTTTCTAGTTTCCAGACAATAACTTGTGTTAAAGTGTATGGATCTCTCTGAAATTGTACTGCAAGGTACCATACCACTAAAGGAAAGGCTGGGATTGATTTTGGGGGTAATTGCCTCAAAATTTTAGGAATTAGGGCCCAAAAAGGGGAAAAAAACAAGCATTTTTCTAGTTTCAGGACCATAACTTGTGTGCAAGTGTATGGATCTTTCTGAAATTGTACTACAATGTTCCATATCACAAAGGGAAAGCTGGAATTGAGTTTGGGGGTAATTGCCCAAAACGTTTAGGAATAAGGGGCCAAAAATAAGCATTTTTCTAGTTTCCAGACAATAACTTGTGTTCAAGTGTATGGATCTCTCTGAAATTGTACTGCAAGGTACCATACCACTAAAGGAAAGGCTGGGATTGATTTTGGGGGTAATTGCCTCAAAATTTTAGGAATTAGGGGCCAAAAAGGGAAAAAAAAACAAGCATTTTTCTAGTTTCAGGACCATAACTTGTGTGTAAGTGTATGGATCTTTCTGAAATTGTACTACAAGGTTCCATATCACAAAGGGAAAGCTGGAATTGAGTTTGGGGGTAATTGCCCAAAACGTTTAGGAATAAGGGGCCAAAAGGGGGCCAAAAATAAGCATTTTTTCTAGTTTCCAGACAATAACTTGTGTTCAAGTGTATGAATCTCTCTGAAATTGTACTGCAAGGTACCATACCACTAAAGGAAAGGCTGGGATTAATTTTGGGGGTAATTGCCTCAAAATTTTAGGAATTAGGGCCCAAAAAGGGGAAAAAAACAAGCATTTTTCTAGTTTCAGGACCATAACTTGTGTGCAAGTGTATGGATCTTTCTGAAATTGTACTACAAGGTTCCATATCACAAAGGGAAAGCTGGAATTGAGTTTGGGGGTAATTGCCCAAAACGTTTAGGAATAAGGGGCCAAAAATAAGCATTTTTCTAGTTTCCAGACAATAACTTGTGTTCAAGTGTATGGATCTCTCTGAAATTGTACTGCAAGGTACCATACCACTAAAGGAAAGGCTGGGATTGATTTTGGGGGTAATTGCCTCAAAATTTTAGGAATTGGGGGCAAAAAAGGGGGAAAAAAACAAGCATTTTTCTAGTTTCAGGACCATAACTTGTGTGTAAGTGTATGGATCTTTCTGAAATTGTACTACAAGGTTCCATATCACAAAGGGAAAGCTGGAATTGAGTTTGGGGGTAATTGCCCAAAACGTTTAGGGATAAGGGGCCAAAAGGGGGCCAAAAATAAGCATTTTTCTAGTTTCCAGACAATAACTTGTGTTCAAGTGTATGAATCTCTCTGAAATTGTAGTGCAAGGTACTATACCACAAAGGGAAGGCTGGGATTGATTTTGGGGGTAATTTCCTCAAAATTTTAGGAATAAGGGGCCAAAAAGGGGCAAAAAAACAAGCATTTTTCTAGTTCAGGACAATAACTTGTGTGTTAGTGTATGGATCTTTATGAAATTGTACAACAAGGTTCCATAATACAAAGGGAAAGCTGGGTTAGAGTTTGGGGTAATTGCCCTAAACGTTTAGGAATTTGGGGCCAAAAAGGGGCAAAAAAACGCATTTTTCTAGATTCCAGACAATAACTTGTGTTCAAGTGTATGGATCTCTCTGAAATTGTACTGCAAGGCACCATACATTGTAACACAAAGGGAAGGCTGGGATTGAGTTTTGGGGTGATGAATCATAAGGGGGTTCAAAAAATTTGAGGGGGGATTTTCTTTTTTTTTTTTTTCTTTAAAATTTTCCATTTTAAATTGGTTACTTCTGATTTATATATAAAAGCAAATAATAATGATATGGTTTGAATAGGTAAATTAAATTTTTTTTAAGTTCTTAGACCACATGTGTCAAAAACCTATGCTGTGTCAAATATTTAATCACAATCCAAATTCAGTGCTGTATCAAGCTTGAATGTTGTGTCCATACTTGCCCTAACAGTTCAGGGTTCGACCTCTGCGGTCGTATCAAGCTGCGCCCAGCGGAGCATTTTATCTAACTAGGTATTTAAAATATGCCATTGAAAAAGTTGGTTGTCTGTTGCATGAGAATTTTCTACATATCAGTTCGAAGTAGAAAAAAACAACCTGTAATCTCTGTTTAGGCTCCATTTTAATGTTTTCTAATTAAGCAGGTGTATGACCATATATATTTGGTATACCGTTTCATAAGGATCCTGGCATCTCAATTGTAAGCTATTTATGTGTCAGCACCACCTCTATCATACTTTATTGACTTTTCTTTCAAATTTTGTTTATAAAATTTTTAACGGTAGACCTTAGCTAATTTAAAACTGTTATCTTAATCTCATTTTTTTTTATAAATATTGCAGCCTAACTCTGTCATATTCAGTTACATCTGCTGTGTTTTCATGCCCATGGTTCAGTTGGAAGTTTTCTGATAGACGAGGAAACACAGTCCATTAAATACTTGTAAATTTTGCTACAAAGTAGGTGGGACATGTCTGTAAACAGTTTTATTGATTTAATACTTTAAAGTTTTATAGTTTTTAGTAGAATTACCAAGATTTTCTGTATGTGCCTGAATCATGGGAACATTAAGGTGGTAGAAAATTAAAATATTACCAAATACCAAGATCAACTATAGACTGTTTGATTTTATATAGGTTATTTGATAAAAATCTGGCTAAAACTTTAGCTTTAATATATTTACTGAAATATGATATGGCAGCTTTGAAGTCTTTGTATTTTCTTCATTTCCAATATTAGTATGATTTGTGTTTATTTGTTCCTGCACTATTCTGATAATTATTTAGTTTATTGGAAATCTATGTCTAATATCTGTCATCACATTGTGTCTACTTTTCATTAGTGAGAACATTTCATACATTCAGCACCATGCAGCCCATCTAAAAACAAGCTAAAATGAAAGTGTTGCTTTGCAGGTCTTCTGTCAAATGTTTGATTTATATATTTTTAGATAAAGTTCAGGTAAAGAAACAAAATTGGACACAAGGGTATGCTGTGGTTGTCTTAAGAACTCATTAAAAATAAAATGTAAATAGACAACAACATCTAGGATCTAATTTGGGTTTCATTCCAGTTGATCAATTTTTTGACAGAATTGCTGCCCTTGGACCTAGATGTACTGACCCAGACTTTTTACTGTTATGCCTGCATTTGTTGGAGCTACATAAGGGTATAATGATGACTGACAGATAAACTCCATGTTTTTTTCATGTTGACCGTATTTTTGGCAGAACGTATCTCCAACCCTAAATGTAAATGAATGCTATTAGATACTATTAATAGTTCTTTAATGGGCTGGATGATGCTAAAGGTGTGGGATAAGCTTGATAAGGTTATACAGTAGTCATTCATTGAAGACATTGATAGTACCTGACTGATACCCTTTCTTTCAAGCTTTTAGTTTAATATGCATATACTGTATAGTAGAATCAGATTACATTTTAGCAGTAGAGTCACTTTAGTTAGATTTTGGAGTTCTGAAACATTACATTAATAATCTAATGGCAGTTTTCCTTTTGTGTCTGTATCATTTTTCCAGTTTTAATGTTGTTAAGTCTAGTGCTAATAACATAACTAATTACGAGTTAGATTTCTGGACAACTAGATGATTTTTCTAACATTCATGTTTTTTCTTGTCTTTACAATTAACATCCTGTTGAGTTTTGTTTTATACAAATATCTATTTATGTATAATACTGATCTGTTAAGTGTGCTTGTAGATATTGATGAAATATAGAACATTCATATAATATTTTGTGTTTTGATTTTGTTTATCAACATATATGTCCAAAGTCCACATTCACATTAAGTGTATGCCAAAGTCATATTTTTAGCTCGCATGTCACATGGCCCAAGTTTGCTTTAAGCAGTTGTTTTCTTTCTCCTCTTGACCACCAGTCAAATTTTAACACAACCATATATTGTAGAATAATATAAGGAAGGTCCTTGATTGAAGTCTTCATTTTATTCTGTTTGGATAAAAAAGATGGCCTCAAGAGGCAATCTTTGATTCTAATTGCCAAAATTAAAAAAAAAAATGTCTTCTCAGAAATAACACAATGTGTGTTTTGAAACTTCAAATAAAGTGTGATGGAAACACCCACTTTTCACTCTCCCCATATAATATATTTAATATGGATATGGTTGTAACTGTAGTGGGATAGGTAACACATAATAGAAAAACAAAGGAAATGGGGTATCCATCCATGAGACAAAATCAGTACATGCACAGCAAAAAACACACAATAAGCAAAGGAAAAGCTCTTTATTGCTGTTCTTCATCTCAAAGTCACAGTAAGGCCTTCAACACAGAGCAAAAACTCACCTCACTGCAAGTTTAAAACGGCCCCTAGCACCGGCTTGAGCTGAATTCTTTGCAAAAATAATAAATTTGGATAGACTTTGTAAGATGTAAACCACCTAATCGGGCCTGGTCAAAAAAAGAACATACTGGAAAGTAGTACATATTTAAAACAAAATAGTTCCTACACATAGGTGTAAATCTAAAACTATGTAGCATATATTTTAGTAATTAAGTTATCAGATGAAAGGTGAAGGACTAGTGATCCTTGTAGAACACATAATTTACTGATAACTTTAAATAATACAAAAATGTATGAATGAATTCTAAAATTAAGGGCATATATTGCCTGTTTCTCAGATATGAAGTGCCTGGTTTGGTGTATCCAAAATTCTGGTAACCAGTGCAGTACGGTCTGATATATAAATACAGGTATATTGATCCCGCTTCCATAAAATGTTTTGAAGTGAAAAATTTAACGTGGATAGGAATGAGGACCAAGAATAGGTGGTGTGTGTCTTATTGAAATTTTAGTACACAAACTGGCCTAAAATTGAGAGAATGACGTGGCACACATAAGAGAAGTTATCTCAAGAATAAATACACCATAACTTTAAAAATACAGAAGAGCATACATAATTTTAGTTCATATACCATCCCTCATGCAAAATTGCAAATCCTTTTCTTTCTGAAGCTACCGGTCCAATCTGAACCAAACTTGATAGGAATATTCATACATTGAAGGTCTTTTAGGAAATATCATTTCCTTTTGATGAAAGAAAATCGTGGCCACCAGAGGCTATCCTTGATTCTCATTTGTCAATTCAAAAAGTATTCTATGACTGAAACTTCATTGTACCACATATAATGTTTTTGACATGCATGTCCGTCAGCCCTGTTCTTGTCATTAGATCTCCTCTGTAACCACACAACAGAATTTCATGAAACTTTGTAGATCATAAGGACATACTATGTAGATGTGCATATCGACAGGAAGTTAAATTTTTTTTCTAAGAATTTTAAGTACACTACTGCAACAGTTTGTCATCACAATATTTCTGAAACCACACAACAGAATTTCATGAAACTTTGTAGTCAATGAGGACATAATATGTAGATGTACATACCTAAAAGCATTTTTTATTGATTGTATATTGTAGGAGTTCTGAGTCTTTGAACTTATGAATCTGGTAAGATTTTGTTTGCCTAGTGAAAATAAGGGGGCGTGTGGTATGTGAGTGTGCTCACAAAGGTTATTTAATTAGCAAAATGTTTTAAAACTTTAGGTGATTGATGAAAATCAAGCTATCTGAAGCTAACATTTTGTCAGAAGTTATGTTCTCTTGTTGAAATTTTAAAATCTCACAGAAACATTGGTTGATGTGATGCAAATAAAGGTGAGCAAAATATTTGCAAGCTCCTTTAGTCTCATACAATGATGTGACCATATTGAATTACATCAGGAGCTTTGGTAGGGCCATGTTACATCAGGAGCATTGGTAGGGTTAATATTACACCAGGGGCTTTCATATGGCCTATATTAAATGCTTTGCTGACTTGGAACATTCCATTGATCCAAGTCCTGCAGGGCCGGATCCAGTCATTTTTAAAAGGGGGGGGTCCCAACCCAGGATAAAGGGGAGGGGGAGGGGGGTCCAACCATATGTCCCCATTCAAAAGCATTGATCGTCAAAAAACCTGGAACCGCCACTGTCCTTTTCTCTGAAAGTTTGGTTAATTTCTACATCTAAGAGATCATCTAAGTTGTGTACAGGGATTATAAGTAACCTTTAGTTGTACTGCAGAGGATTCAAAACTCCCTTTTTAGCTCAAACATATAATATAGGGAAATAAAATACAATACAATGAATATTAATGAATTAAGACGATACTATTAAAGTTATAACATCATCGTTACGTTCTAATATGTGCTTTTTTCACAACAGTAAACCAAAACAGTTTTTCTGCAGTTTTACGTCTAAATTTTCTTGTGGTCTGGAAACGCCCAAGAAACAACGGGGTAATTTTGGTGAAGCTTTTTTTTTTGGCTGTTTATAATAATCCTACCAAATACCGGGTATACTTATATTTTGTAATATTTATGGAAATACTTTTCTTATTCAAAATATTCTTCAAAAAATGATATACACTACTAATATAAGAAAATCAAGAAATTTAACGAAATTATACAGTGTAAATTTGTTGACATGGTAACTTGTCAAATGTGAAATTTGTTTTTATTTTATTTTAAAATCTAAATATACATTAAATTTTGAAGATCGATAATCACTTACGATCGCATGTTGCACTCGTCTACCGATTTAAAAATCGAGTGAAAGTTTTCATTCTTTTATCCAAAGATTTCAATAAAAAGAGAGCGAAGACACCACAGGCAATTAAAAGCAACAAGTTAGAAAAAAAAACCAGACAAGACCATGACAAAAAAGAAAAACAACGGAAGACGAACATTAGTACACAAAAGACTACACAATAATAAAGAATGAGCATTACAATTTTACAATCATCATACCACTACTTAGTCTGAAATCATGCAAGTTCATAATTGTTCGAAGCTTCAAATATCCATTATTGCTGCAGTTGGTAGTGACAATGTTGACCCGTGAGACGAGTCAAGTTGGCGGTCTGTGAAGGCTTGTTATTTATAGATGTCCCCAAGCGTTTATGTATTTGGCTTCAGTATGTTTGCTAGAGCGACTTTGATGAAGGTTGTTGCATATAATTATGTCGAACAAACAAAAAAGTGTATCATACCGTTATCATGATAACTACCAATTACTGATGTTGAATTGTCAGTTTTCTAGGTTACCAGGAGCCAGTGAAAGTGCTTCTGTATTAGTGTGATTTAAATGATTTATATTTCAAGACTGTAAATATTCAGTTGAAAAATTATGCAGGGGCGTCATCAATGTTCAAAACTCGTATACAAACCAATCTATTTGCATGTTCTCCTGGCCAGGTGCGTTGACAGGGTATAGGGTATTGCTATGTATGATTCATCCGCCATGCGAATCCAGACTCCATGCATCAACAATGTAACAATATGGAATAGGACACAATTGGAAATTTTCAAAACACATATAGAACACGTTGATTAAAACAGATTACAAACTTTAAAAATGTAAAAGCCATTCATTTTACGAGAGTAGAAACAAATTACTCAATACTTTCAAAACCATTAAAGGAAAACAGGGAGTTAAAAAAAGTAAAACAAATTATCTGAATTTTAATGTGCGTATTGTTATGCGTTTTTTTTTTCTACATTGGCTAGAGGTATAGGGGGAGGGTTGAGATCTCATAAACATGTTTAACCCCGCCGCATTTTTGCGCCTGTCCCAAGTCAGGAGCCTCTAGTCTTTGTTAGTCTTGTATTATTTTAAATTTTAGTTTCTTGTGTACAATTTGGAGTTTAGTATGGCGTTCATTATCACTGAACTAGTATATATATTTGTTTAGGGGCCAGCTGAAGGACGCCTCCGGGTGCGGGAATTTCTCGCTGCATTGAAGACCTGTTGGTGACCTTCTGCTGTTGTCTGTTCTATGGTCGGGTTGTTGTCTCTTTGACACATTCCCCATTTCCATTCTCAATTTTATCTACATGTCACATGATATAAAAATCTATGACGTCTATCTAAAATGTCTCTGCAGGTTTTGACACACAAACGGATATTGCTGACTCCACTAAGAATCACAGATAGCTTATCTTGACTTAAAAAAATATAAAAAAAAATCAAAAATTTAATTATCAAAAACATTGTCTCTGGTATCATATAAGAGTACATAATAAAAGTAAATCAAAAACATTGTCTCTGGTATCATATAAGAGTACATAATAAAAGTACATGCTCTATGGATTAATCATTTTTTACTAATTTAGAAAAAAAACTCCTTTAAGTAAATTAGATCAAAGGTAAGAACGAAAGGACAAAACGATACGATGGTCAAGAGAAAAAGTATTAAAGCTCGAACTTTTGCACTTAAGATTTATTAGCATTTGATGACTTAAATGATTTAAAAGGGTTTGTTCATGGCAAATATAAATCTACGTCATTTTGGACATTGGTGAATAGTTGTCTGTTTGGCAGTCATACCACATCTCATAGTTTTATATTATATAGTTACACATGTTTTCGGGGCCAAGAGAACTGTAAGAGCCCTTCTAGATGTCTTTTTGAAATTGAAATATTACATAATAGATAATATATATATGCATGAACTTAGTTAAAAGATTGAGTAGCGAAAGTCAACATCCCAATCAAAATTCAACCTTTTAAATTAAATCTTTTAAACCTATGACAAACATTAGGGATAGCATTTTACGCCAATAAAGTTTGATTTGCACCGTTTAAATTGTCAATATTAGTATATTTACATATGGTCTTAATTGTCAAGGTGTAAGACTTATTGATATACCTAGAGTACGCTACCAATTGGCATCTACCCAACCCAAACATCGATCTTAGATCGATATCCTCTCCTGTTATCCACGGTGTGTAAAAATTCAAAGGACTACATGATTGACAAGCTTACAGTAATTTTATTAGATTAAAGTACTAGATATTGCGAATTCAAATATATTAAAATATGATATTAAATCTGTGAAAAGTTGTATTTTGGCAGATGATTGGATTTTATTGTATACCGTTAGTAGGACATCCAAGGTTAGTTGAAATTTTTATCGTTGAACATTTAAATTTGAATAATTGTTAAAGTACTATTAAATTCAATTTTAATGAATTTCACATAGCGTGATATATCAATTATGTTTTTATGCAGGTAGTTCACAGTAGATTATCTGAAAAGTTTGTACTGTCAGGTAAGCGCTTTGACATTTACATTTTACAATTTTAAAATGTTCATACTCAAATTTTTAGTTGAATATTTTGATATAATAACGAATATTTGAAATTTTAACAATTTTGCTTCAAGTAAGAGTATAGGATGCATAACTTTATATCAATTAAGACTAACGGTTTCTTTCCGGACAATTTTAAGACTCGAGCATATTTTACCACTAAAATAGTCATCTCAGTGTTAATGGAGTTATATTATAATATTTACTAAGAGCGGACTACAAACTTCATGATTCGTAGAGGTTTATTTCTTCTATTGATGGCCAATCACACTAGTCGCTGATTTAAAATATGAAAAAATATACAACGATGACCATCCAGGTTCTGTTATAATCTATTATGACTGACTAAAGGCTGGCAATGCCAAAACTGGTATTGTTGAATACCAGTTATGTAATTCTTAAAAATCTTTTTATTTTGAATACACGTAATTCATTGTAGATACTCAGTTTTTAAGTCTGTATACTTCCTTAATACTTTTGTACCTTAGAGTTAATGTTCCCTAAGTAGCTAATATGTGTAGTATCAACATATAGCAGTAGATATACTATGTTTTATGGAACAAAAGGAGGACTGTATACATGTAAACCAACCGAAAAGTATGTTTTATTGAATTTTACTAAAATGTCACAACCAAAGGGCCAATGAGGTTCTCTACTTACTTTCTCTTGTTCTTGAGGGTGTTTTAGTGCTATATTGATGATGACATTCTTATCATGACAAGCAACATTGAGACAGCCTGGATGAATAAATTTGTTCGATTTTGGTTTCAGTTTTGGAAGTGTTTGAAATAAGCCATATAATGTTTTCCAGGAAATCTACACGGAAATGCTAAATTATTAAATATGTTTTTGCAATTACTCGATATCAGCAACAAAATTATAAATATTAAGTAATTGTTCATTTCAGTAAATCCATTTCCTGGTTTTTGCTTCAATTCTCAGTATAGACTTTTGATAATCTCCGCACTTCATTGACAAATAAGGAAAAATCGAAATTTGTGGATTGATACTATTAATTATCGTATTTGGTTAAAAATCAATAAAAACTTAATAACTTCTATGAAGTAATTTTCTGCAAGAATTCCTTTTTTGAAAAATATTACAGATATTGATGTTTGCCATTTTCTAAATCAATTCCATGTTCAATTTTTCATGCGATGTACAATTTCGTTATCAGTTCCGTTTAAATAATAAAATCTCGATGATACAAATGTTACTTGTCTATACAATCAATAATATTATTTGTTTTTTCTTCTGCTTAAATATCATTCATGAATATTTATCAGAATAATGCAATAAATCTACTTATTCAAAGAGAAAAAACCGAGTTATTTGATTAAAGAATGTCCGAACGATTTCTCTCAGAAAGCAGGTACGTACACACCTGCATTATTTTGGTCACACGAAATTGACCATTTACTGTATAAGTTGTATTTCAGAGAAAAATTCAATGGTACGAAATGTTGTAAAAACCATTTTTATCAAAGTATATAATTTTATATTTGCTCGAAGTTTTACTGGAACAACATTGGATTTAATGCTAGTACAGGGTACAAAAGAGTATTCGAGTCTTCAGAATTATCAATAAGACGCTTTTTTTGCACCTGTAAACCAGGAACATATATATTGACGTTCCCAGTGTAAACAGATAAAAGAAATCTTCATATTTGGTTATAATACTTAAAACAGCATGAATAAAGATATAAAATGAAAACATTGTCATATTTGTAAGCGTTATCTTAAGAATGTCACAAGTCAACACAAAATTGGTTATCTTTGAAAATCATTTTAAAGAACTACAGAGGACTTTTTAAAAGGTCTCTAATTTTAAACTCAAGATTTCAAAGGACACCATTTAGAATAAAATATTGTGAATTGTATTTTCTCTAATTTTAAACTCAAGATTTCAAAGGACACCATTTAGAATAAAATATTGTGAATTGTATTTAAACTATTTAATTACACAAATCATCCACGTATTCTTACCTAATTTCCTATGGTGAACATAAGACATTCATACGATTTCTCATAGGAAAGGGATAATACGTTGTCGGGGGATTTCACGCTGTTTGAAACGAAAGAAATATAGATCGGAATTTAACAACATATACACAAGGATTTGTATACAAATCCTTGATATACATATAACAAAATTTTACTAAAACTATCCCTGGATATTGGATCTATTTACAACATGTGTTGTCATTGATTCTACATATAAAAGGTAAGAAGGTCAGCTCGGGTTAAGACATCTATAAGTTAAACAATCGAATTTTAAGAAATCTGCATTGAAAACCCATGATTTCTACATGTATATATGATTTTCTCTTTCCTCGCTCGCTGAGTGATCATCAATCAATCGTTTTTCCTCCAAAATATGGATGCCATTCTCATGTTTAACCTTCGAGGAACAAATGAAAAGTAGAAAATTGCAAATGTTTTATAATATTCAGAATAATAATGCTTCTTTGTAGTTTTGTCCCTCTTGACATTCACCATTTTACAGGTTGCTGCTCACATCTAACTTCTCAATCATTTATTCCTTCAACAATCAAGCACTGGAATAATCTGGAATCGCATACCATTCCAAAATTGTACTCATCATCAAAATTCAAATCAGAATTGAAAAAACGGCACTCGAAATCGGGATCCACTCCTACATTATTTGTCTGGTTCTAGATTGAGTTGGTTTTGATGCTCGGAGTCTGTCTTTAACTATAACTTATTTCGGGCTATTATATCTGACCAACTATGTCGATGTGGGTCAAATATTGATAACGGCATTTCCTTTTTTGTGGCTGCACCTTTTATTTAAACGAAATATTGATTAAGTTTTGGTGATTAACGCCACTGTCAGAACTATTGGCTATTTCGTGGCGGTCATTTTTAATGGTTGAAGAAGCCTGAATTCCCGATGAGAACCACTGATCTTCGGCAGATTAAACGAATATAGACATTAATAGTCTCAGCTGGCTTTCTGAATGCTACAAATAGATATGAACTCTTGACTTGGGGAAAAGATACTCCTTCCTATGACCAAATTGTTCTATTTGTCAAACAAGTTGTAAACTTGATAAAGGTCAAGTGGTATAATATTAACTTGGGTAAAACACACAACGTCATCATCATCATCTCTGTCGTTCTTTCTTTATTACCTTTCCAATGTTCAGTTTAGTTTTATTATAATATCAATATTGTTCATATAATGCATGCTCACTTTATTTTTGTGTTGTTATATAAATTGTACTGTGGAGAAGACTACATAAGTATGTTTTACTTGTGTCTGATCTTTTTCTATTAGAGCAAATAAAAAATAGAGAGCTTGGTAAATTTGAATCTACAGCATACAGCATTGAGCACGTAAACACACTTTACGTAAATCTCGAAGCTCAGTGAATGGGGATTGTCTCTTGTTGATGATAAAATGTACACCAACCGAAAGACACTTAAAATCTTGTTCGTTTCAGACTGGGTTTATACTATCAAGTCAAAACCTGGTATGTACATCTCGAAGCTCTTTGTGGATGATGGTTTTCTCTTGTCGATGACAAAATGTAAACTGACACTCAAAATCTTGTTCGTTTCAAACTGGGTTTATACTATCAAGTGAAAACCCGGTCTGTGTAAAGCATGAAGCTCTATGTGGATGATGGTTTTCTCTTGTCGATGATAAAATGTACACTGACACTCAAAATCTTGTTTGTTTCAAACTGGATTTATTCTAACAAAGACGAATTCAGACCAAAGCACATTCGTTAATCTTTGTATTATAACAGTTATCCGAAAGTAGTTCATCTTGACATATGAAGAAATAATTCCCATGGCGTAGCCAACAAAGTTAGAAATTAAACGATTACGACACAGTGTAAATTTCAAATGCAATTCAGTTATAACTTTAAACTAATCAGATTTAATTGTGAAAAATCTGAGGTAAAAATGTTAACCATGTTACAAGGTTATTAAAAGCTTAATGTTATATCGTAATAACACTTTAACACTTTTTGATACAGTTCCATAAATTATATATGCATATCTTACTTGTTTAAGATAAATTGATCTATTAAAATTATATATATGTTTATTAAATCGTTCCTTTATGTGCAATGACACGAACATATTACTATACTTATCGTGCCCTAATATATATATATATACAGCGTATGGCATTTATTTTACGCCGCGTTTATTGGCCTTAATTGATTTAATGGAAAAGAGAACCGCAGAGTGTATAGCAATTAGAAACACGTTCCATCGTCTTACGAATATGACCATCCTTCCGCAGTTTTGGAATGTATTTAATACGCTAAAAGTGTCACGCTCCTAGCAAGCAAAATAACCATCAGCAAGCATACTAGTGTTCGCTAAGAGTTGCTTAATTAGTTGCCTCTACTTTCCTCTCCTTTGGCGGCCAAAATGTGTTCCCCACAAGCATTTGCCGCCCGCCCTTTATCATATCATGTTTGTTTTTCTTGGCCATGATTATGCTGAGTCGTAAAACATCAACCAATCAATCATGAAAGACCATCTCTGTATAGTAATAGTGATATATTCCTCTATCAATCCTCTTTTGTCATTTTATTTTAGTAATTTAATAAGAAAAATATACTGGTAGTTCATCATGCTAGTTTATACATCAGAGTTGGAAAATCAGGAAGAAATGTCAAATTAAATCAATAAGAAAAGTATACCCTATCTAGTTGTCAGGATTTCTTATTAAATCACGTTCTTCAAAACTTGAGTACATTTTAGCCGGTTTGTTTGTCTTTTAAATCGATGTTAAACTTAAAATATTAGTCTATATATCAGTTCTTTTCACAACCAGATCGTGTGATCTAAGAAGGAGATTTATTGTAAAAATGCTGAAACACTAAAGTCGGGTTTCACAGCTGATGACCTTAATAATAAAACTATAGTCATCCGTTGCTGTCTAACTGGTTACTCGAACAATTATTGAGTTGATTACCCTGCGCTCACTTGATTTTATCTAAATGATGGGATACGTGTGCCGTTTAATTACAAAGCCTATCATATAATAACAATGATACACATCCCAAAAGTGATCTCGTCTTACAGAAGCGTATTAGGACAGTAATTAAGATGAAATAAGCATTAAACCTTTTTTACAATACCGACATCTTAAAATGAAACAATTATACTTTAACTTGAAATTTGAATTCTAAATCTTATAAATACTCAAAATGTTGACTTAAATATGATTGAAAGAATACCAAGATGTCAGAAATTAATCCATTAATCCGTCTTTTAAGAGATTATATAAAGTATAATTAGGACACCTTTAATGGTCGTTGCGGTCGTAAAAACAGGTTTTTTATGTTCTTTCTTCGACAATATTTATACAACTTTTCTTTTGATTTTATATATTTCCATTACATGTATATTCCTTAATAGATTGTATTGAAAAAAAATCCTTAATTTGCAGATAAGATCAAAATTCTCCATATTTCAAAGGTAGAAATATCGATTATTACATGACCGTCTCATTGCGTTGTATTTGTTTTGTTTTAAGATGTTGTAATCACCAGACGACTGTTTATGTTATGCCTTATCAGTTATGGCACTTCAAAACTAAGACAAGAATTAAGATCCATAATAAGCTCATTTGAGCTGGTTTTGATCACGAGGTAGCAATTTCCTATCATAGTATGTGTTTAAGAATCTCCGTGTTGTCAAACACGTATCTGGAGAAAAAGCCTACTCGTAGAAGAATATTGTTTTATCTTTTCAATTTTAAGAGTCAGTAAAAACAGACAAATATCTTGTATAGAAACTATCTACAAGGTATTAAATGGGTTTTAGGTCATCACATATTCCCCTCCAATGTAAAACGAAGTCTCCCAGCGGCTGTATTGTTCGGCCGATTGTTACCAAAATTTCCTACAGTTTCTATAGTGATATTTCTGGCAATACTGATACAGGTTTAAATGCCTTAAGTAGCAACTCTAAGTAAATATCATACAAGTACATTTTTTAATTTAGTCAGGCTGTTTTCAAGATTGGAAATTGTAATTCTTATGTGACAGATTTACACTACAGCAACAATACTAGGTCAGGACTCTCCCTTAATTTTGTTTCAATTCCCTAGTACTTTCATCTGAGAAGGTGCACATGATTTACTTTTATAGACACATATGTAAACGTATATTTGTTCCGCCTATCAGAAGTTCCACTGGAAACTTTGTTATAAACAATGCTATAATATCTGTTCCAGTTGGATCAAATATTTTTTAATCTTTATTCCTGTTGGAACAAATATTCTATAATCTTTATTCCGTCAGGAACAAATTCTGCAATATGTTCCATAGGAAATAATATTACAGATAATTCTTCCATTTGGAATTTATGCTATGAAGGAACTTCTTTTCATGACACGTATACGCCGAATGATGGCAAAATATTACACGACAATTAGCCAAGTACAGCAAGAACACATTTTAACCGTAATGATCCACCAGCCAAGGAATATGACAGTTTTTTTTTCTATGATCTTCCTTTGCTGTAGCTCTTGCCTTGTTGGCATTTTGTGTCTTTTGAATTGTCTTGGAGTTTTGTATACTAGTTAATTAACAACTTTTTAAGAATCGCCGCTATTTAGGGCATTACTTATTGTTAGCACACTCGTCTATTGTTGAAGAATGTATGCTGACCTCTCGATCTCTTTTCTCTCTTTCTTTTTTTTGTGTGTGTCGTTGAATTGCCTTTCATAGACGTTGGTAAAAATATCCTGTTATTTTAGGCAATTTGTACTTGAATATTTTCTTATCTAAGCCTCAACATATGTACCTATATTTGATAATCGAACTAACGTAAACACTGCTCAAATTCCACCTCCACTCCAGTTTTTAATACCTGAAAAATTTAAAAGTAATTATTAAATTTGAATTCAAGACGACTCATGTTTAATTTGTTCGACTTTAATAGAATTAAAATTAAATTTCTTACCTTGGATCTACGATACCGGTTGTACACAAAGATATTAAAATTTTATAAAATGTGTCCAAAACGGTAAAACGATATCCATAGGTTGTCTTCACAGTGTAGTGTTATTTTCTTCTTAAACACGTCTTATTTAAATTTGTTAATATTCTTTTCAAGAGTAATGATCTATTCCATTCTCAGTGGTGAGAAGGAATTAATCAATATATTGAAATATTTCATTCGAATCCATGTTCAGTTTCAGTGGTGACATAATGTAATAAACAACAGAATGAAAATGGCAGACGACACAGAAGAACTGATCGACGCTGGTGAAGACATAACAATCAAAACCAGCACGCCAAGATCTCCAATATCTTCATCAGAGTTGGCAAAATCTGCAGATAATAAGACGACAGGAAAGCAAAAAAATAAAGAAAACAAACAAGAAGATAAGAATTCAAAGACACTGAAGAATTCAACGAACATCAAAGAGCAAGAACGGACTCAGGAAAAGGTTAATATTTTTTAGATGTGACAAATTTAAAACAGTTTTTTTTAAAGATATCTGTATATAACCTTATAGTTGAGATTGGTAATGTATTGTTTTTTTTAATACTAATCTTCACTGCATGACATTATTCGGTGGACTAAGATCGTTGATCCATATTTGTAGGAGTCCGTCGATTCAAATAATGTTGGTTCGTTAATTTGGATTAATCGAGAACACCTTGTAAGGTCAGTTGCAAATATCATATTCATTACAATTTTATGATTTCATTACCAAACATATGTGTGGCATAAATGATGACCTGCCACTTCCAACTGATGCTCCCCTTACTGCATATTTATTGAGTGAAAACATTTTTATTGCAAGGCTTTAAAATACTAGTATGATTGGAGGGACAAATAAATGTACTGTTATTGCTCATTTTCGACTGCATACATGTGTTTTAAGGATACCATCCATAAACCAACTTTTCTTTTAATATTTCAAGTAACAGTAATCTTGACCGTTGACCTGTTAACCACACAATATAAAGGCTTCTTTCCCTTCCCATCTGTTTAATTTCAATCAAGCAAGGTAAATTCAAGCTGCCATCCAGAAACCATTTATTATTTGTTTTGTCCTGTTTTAAGTAACAGTGACCTTCACTTTTGACCTATTGACCTCAAGACAAAAAAGACAACTTTTCCTTTCCTATAGATTCCATTGGTGTAATTTTAAGTTTCATTACAATCAAGCAAAGATCTTAAGCTACCATCCGAAAACCTTTTGTTTCGGACTTACAGAATGACGGACAGACTAACAAAGCGATTTCTATATTCTTCCGAAGAAAATTTTTTTTCAGTGAGCATGTCTCATTTGCATTCATACCTCATATCCTTATTTTTATAAAGGCTGGAAACTCAATCCTGGTTTTCATTAGAACAGAATGATAACAAACACACCTTTTAATCTCTTTTCCTGCATTATAATGTTCAAATTTTTTTGATTGTTAAAACCATTATATAAAACTTACCAAAAATAGCAGTCATATGTGCAACTTTTGGATCCTCCTGTTGTGAGGTTCCGATTATTTTGCATACAAAGGCCTGTTAACGGGAAGAATATAATCCATAAGGAGTACTGCAGCCTCCTAAAAACTCAGCAAATTGAGTGTAAATATGTCATATTCCAATTTTAAGTACAGACACATCAATAAAAACGCAGGAATGATGAAATTTTATCAAATTTATTGCATTTGTTTCATATGCATTCCTTTCAACAGACAATTAAACTGCTCGATCAACGGAATTTTATTTAGATTAGCTTCATACAATCTTATATCAACGGACATTAATAAACCTAATGTTTTCACATCTTTGTCTTTTGATCTCTGGTTGATAGTTGTATCATTGGCAGTCATGCAAATCTCCTTATTTTTTATAAAGAAGTAGCTAAATTGGTTGAATATTCTTCTTGCCAGATATGACAATTGATTGTAAAAACTTTTTTAAACGAACCATAATAATTTCGCGATTCATCAAAGCAAACACAATGTGGTCACCTTAAACAATCAACTTTGCTGTCTAAGGTATACCGTATATCTCCTTTTATCATAATTTTGTCTGTTTTCGGATTTCCGAACGGTATAATCTATATGATAGTGTAAGTTGTGATGCTGAAGATCTGATCTGTGTTGTATAAATAGATGTTGACTGCTTCCATAAAAAAAAGCAAAGAACTTTTTTTTCTAAGCAAACAAAAAAGTGATAATCTGGAAGCTTTTTGTTGTTGCTGATTTTGACATTTTCAAGGAAATAATAGTGAAACGTAAAAGCTATGTTTATGAAGCTAAAAAAAACTATTTATTTCGAAGCAGAGTGAAGTTATCACCAGCAAACCACAAAGTTTATTGAATATCTTCCGAATTGGACATTGCAAACAAAACGATAACAGCGAAAGTAACATGTAATCTATTGTCAATAGTACCCCTGCCAACATTTAAAAATATTGGTCAAACCATCCGGTTATACCATCTGATTCGGTTAGTTTGATAGACAGACAAAGCGATGCTCAAACTGAAATAATAAAAGTAAAGAAAAATTACGAATCTAATAATGTTTGGAAACAACTTATCATCGTTTGATGCAACACATTTTTTTCCTAGAATCACTGTCCACCAGAAAATTATAATCATTCTTAAAACTGTAAACATCACACAAAACACATTCAAAGCACATTTGTAAACGTTTTCCGATGTTTGGTCATTTCTGGTTATTTATTCATTCACATAGATGTACATTGTTTTGGATACGTGTGTTGACAAGGTGTTGGAAAATTGGTTATGGAAGATAGATGCATTGAAACCTACATTATCAAATTAATTGTTTCCGGTTTAATTTTTATTATGTGCGTTTTACCTATATCATTTGGTATTTAGTATACTTAGAACTGGTCGTCTGTTGACTCCAACTTGTCTATAATAGAGGCATTTTATAGCTTGTACATACGACTACTGTATGGAGACCTCTACATGTTTTCTTTGGTGACTTCTAGATGTGTATTTTGAAAAGCTCTAGACCTCTATTTGTAATTGAATTAGGGAGCTACCATTTGATTTTTAGGGGGGAGGGGGATTTGAAATTTGAAAAAAGGCAGGACAGGAGTTTTGAGTAAAAAAAAGGCAGGATGAGCAACTTAGCAAAAAACAAAAAGGCAGGATGACAATTTATGTAAAAAAAGCCAGGATAAACTAATTAAAAAAAGGCAGGACCGAATAGAGTGAAAAATAAAAAGGCAGGACAGAGATTACAACTAAAAAAAATGCAGGACAAAATTTTTCATCCTAGTCCCCCCCCCCCCCCCCCCCCCCCATAATAATCAAATGGTAGCTCCCTTGTGTGGTTTTTTTTCGCTTTTTCATTGAACTCTACCAATCATTTCCTTTTTATTTATATTGACTGATTGACGTCTAATTAACATTTACGGCACATCTTATCTTAAAACTAAATGAAGCAGTCAAATCATTATTTGAGAATAACTGTCTGACTTTACTTGCCGGGATTAGGATTTTAAAAAGTAGTTTACTTCGTATATATAAAGCATACAGTGTTTCCAAATATAGCAAGAACAGAACAATTATGGCGACTTTCAGACTGGTCTTATCTGTGATTTACACACCCATTACCAATCAATTATATTGATAAGTTTTAAATGCTAACCTATTCACATCACAATGCAAACATAAACCATTTTACCAAAGTTGATTTGAAATACTTAATATCATTAAGGACTTTGTATATGACAGTAATGTTTGAATTCAAACTACCAATACAAAAGTTCAAAAACAACTATCAAAATATACTTGCTGATAGTACGAGTTCCGAATTCATTCAGCGAAGTTCATGTTTATAAATTGACAAAATGATAAAATGGTGTTCGCAATAATTTGATCTTAAAGTCGGTCACGGAGGAAGACATTTAAATGCAAGAAATCATGCTCTCTCAGATGTTGCGGGCGGGAGTATCTGTGACCACTAAATAGGTCAATACGTTCAGATTTCGTATTTAAACATGTTCTAATATTTTTTTTTTATTTTGAAATATGATATATTAGCACTATAGCATACCTCTATATTGATTTATTGAGTTTTAATAATAATTCCAACAATACAAATTAAGTGCATGCTTTTACAGCATGCATACAAATATCTGTAATCTGCATGAGAATTAATTGTAATAACCCGTTATACAGAATGCAAATTGAGTGCTGTATATGTAATCTCACATTGAATAAATTAATAGAGACTTATTTCAAATCATGTATAAGTGCAAATGCATGCAGACACTTAATTTCAAACTTTTTTTTTTCATTTGCGATGACATTTTTACATGTCTGTTTAAATAAAAACTACATTGTTTAAATGCTGCAAGGTTTTAAAACTTCATATATTATATGTTTTCGTAGTTTATTGAAATGCTTCCATATAACATCAATTACTGCTGAGCTATTCACTAAGTGCTTTCACTAGATTTTAAATGGTAATACTTTTATTCATTAACAAAACATATATTGCCTATGTCATAAAACTACTATTCTAATTTCAAATTTAAATATTTTATAGATTCAATGCTTTTAATCTGGTAACGGTTGTACCGAATGAATTTGGATCAAATTATGCATCGAAACGGATGTGTATTATACGTCGCATAACATGTTTAACAAAATACTTGTCCAGACTAGGGACGATTTAAAACTTGATTTTTCATAAACACTTGGCAATCATTCGAGACTTTATATCGACCAATAAATGTATTTTGAGGGATTAGCGTGTTTTTTTTTTCGGAGAGATGCATTATTGCTTTACACAAAACACCTTTAATCTGAATATGAAAATGACCTCAGATGACAACTTTTCATTCCTTTCTTATACAACTATCATGTCACATTTCCTTAGTATTACATAGCCTAACAACAGATTTGTTTATATAAAAATAAGGAGATGCGGTATGATTGCCAATGAGACAACTATCCACCAAAGTTCAAATAAAGTGGATGTAAGCAATTATAGGCAACCGTACGGCCTTCAACAATGAAAAAACCCGATACCGTATAGTCGGCTATAAAAGGACCCGACATGAAAAATATGAAACAATTAATTGAGAAAACTAACGGCCTAATTTATAACAAAACAATTTACGAAAAACAAATATGACAAACATGAACCAACGACAAACACTGAACTACAGGCTCCTGACTTTGGACAGGCACACAAAGAACGTGGCGTGGTTAAATATGTTTGTTAGCGCTCAACCCTCCCCTAACCTTGAACAGTTGTGTAACAGCACAACATAAGAACAAACTATAAAAATCAGTTGGAAAAGGCTTCACTCATCAGATCGATACAAAGCAGAAAAATATCAAACATAAACACAGACTGGACGTGGCAGGGTATTTATCCATCCCTCATCCCTAACAACAAAAAGGACACTAAGTCCAGATCTGAGAGTACTCGCAGTTACTGACAGCTAGTTCAAAGCCAATAACAACTAATAAAAAAATCGTGTATCTAAGACTAAAATACCAATCAGTACATCCAACATCCAATGGATTTAAGGTAAAGACGTCATTAACAGTCAGAGAAAAACCTGACATTGTGCAATGCTGTAGTACTGTTAAAGTGAACATGTGTATAACAAAACTATTTAGTATGATTTTAATTTACTGATAACAAAATCAATATTTATACCAATAAAAACAATATTCAAAGATCTCAATACAGTGTTGAATTGGTAACCTTTAAGAATAAGTTTATGCAAAGGATTGAGAAGTTTACCCGGATCGTATATAAATTTCCGGGCTCGGTAAACAACATCACCGTAAAATTTAGGATGTGCTATTCCGTCTGATTTAAGTTTTTTTACAGGTACAGCCAAACTTGCAAACCAAATCTTTGTACCTGGAAGAATTTAGTAGGTTTTAAGTAATCTGTGGTAACGAAATCCCTGAATTAATAATTTACCAGTAATACATATATTACGCTCATTAAAATCCAAAACGTCACTACAGACACGGGCATAACGAACGAGTTGGGATATATAAACACCGTAAGATGGTGCCAGAGGAACATGATTATTCTTTCGCACGTTTAAATCGTTTTTAAAATTTATCTACGTTACATTTTTAGATCACATTCGAAGAATTTGCCGTATGAACGTATGCTTTTTCCCCTGACTGGACAAATCTGCATTAAATTGTACAAGTATCTCAATATTACAACCTGTCAAAACATTTAAAGCCTTATTAATAAAACTTTAAATTCCAACAGGGTTTAAAAGATAAAAAGGAAACAAAGAAACGAAAGCCAAGTAATAATGGAAGTGTCCAAGAGAAAGATAATACAGACGACGACGAAAGTGAGGAAGAGGAAACAGAAATGACAAGGGAAGAAAAAGAGGTAGGAAACAGAAAATCAAATATCCTGGTTTCTATGGTAAGTTTATTTACAACCATTGGGTGGTGGAGGTTTCCTCCCAGAGAGTATCACCAGCCACTTTTGTGTTGACATGGATTATCATTGATATGGTCATAATTAAAAATGAACTGCTTACAAAACATCGAATTTTTCAAAATATTAAGGATTTTTTACCACTGGAAGAGACTACCTTGGCTGTATTTAGCAAAACCTTTCAGAATTTGGGTCTTCAATGCATTTCAGCTTCGTACTTACTATGGATTTTCTAACCTTTTTGATTCGAGCGTCACTGATGAGTCTTTTGTAGACAAAACGCACGTCTGGCGTACAAAATTTTAATATTGGTATCTATGATGAGTTTATTTATATTACAGATACTGGCATATCAGAATGACCTAAGATTAACTAACAGCTATTTCGGACATTTTAAAGTATTACAAAAAGGACAATGTTAATCTAATGAGCTGTATAATGTAAATATTTAAAATTATCTTCTACAGCACATTGACTGACTTATTTTGTTTATGTCAAAACGCACTGACACTGAACGTTTTTATGCCCCACCTACGATAGTAGATGGGCATTATGTTTTTCGGTCTGTACGTTAGTTCGTCCGTTCGTCCGTCCGTCCGTCCGTTCGTCCGTTCGTCTGTCCGTCCGTCTGTCTGTCCCGCTTCAGGTTACATTTTTTGGTCAAGTCAGGTTAAAGTTTATGGTCAAGGAAGTTTTTGCTGAAGTTGAAGTCCAATCAACTTGAAACTTAGTACACATGTTCCCTATGATATGATCTTTCTAATTTTAATGCAAATTAGAGTTTTTACTCCAATTTCACGGTACACTGAACATAGAAAATGATAGTGCGAGTGGGGCATTCGTGTACTATGGACACATTCTTGTTTATATTTGATTTTGATATTGCAACTACATGAACCTTTCATTTTTTATTTTCTTTCACAAAAAAATAAACACTTCACCAATTATTAGGTAAATGTTCATTATGGTGTACAGGCATTCCTCATCTTCAATTCATCCTATCATGATGTGAGTTAATTTCAATTCTTATGTGAACAGATATTTTAGATGATCATAGAACAAACTGGATATCCTTGTTCTTTATGGTCACTGATATTTTGTTATCAGGGAACGTTCAAACGCTATAACCTCAGTGCGCAATGACTTTTCTTTTTCCTTTTCTCACGTTTTACCATTGTAAATAACGACTATGGCAAGGTTCGAGCAGGGAAAAAACTCCTTTGCATTTCTGACCTTTTCAAATGAATTTAAATTTGAAAGAAATTTATAAATTGTTTGTTTTTCATACATCTTACAAGTTGGTATGACTTGTTTATTATAGTATGACCACATTAGATAATGTTGAAATCATATTAAGTTATGACAAAACCATATTATGTATTGACAAATCATATTAAGTCATTACGAAACCAAATCATGCAATATCACAATAGCATTAAATAATGACTATACCATATTGAGTAATATCAAAACAGCATTAAGTAAAACCATATTATGTAAAGACACTTATCATCAAGTAATAATAAAACCCCATAACGTAATGTCAGAGTACCACATAAGACAGCTTTGGCGTTCTTCTAATGTATGGAATTTTGATATATAAAGACCATTTCATATTTTTTTAATTTTCTGGTTCCAAAAAAATAAATACATATTTTTTATGTATCATATGTAACTGCTCAATAAGGTGGTGTTTTTGTGTTTGTTGTTGTTAATTTTCAAATGTTTTTAATTTATTTACAGGACATGTATAATGCAGCTAGGAATGGCGATTTTCTCACTCTTCACAACTCACTGGACAAAAAGAATGCTGATATAAACATGACATGGGTAGTATGATAAAAACGTTTTAACTTAATGAATTAAATAAGCACTTTACAATGTATTCCTGTCGCTGTAAGCAATAAGTTATTCTGTGAGTTAGCTCTCAAGCAATACAAAGTTTCTTCTAATATGTCGAACGAACCATTTCTATATTATGGTTATATAATTATGATCAGAAAAAGGTACATAATGACTGGTCATTTAAGGAAATCTACTGTATAAAACTGCATCAGCAAGCATACAAATATTATACAGTAAAGGCCTTTTCAAAGTATTCGATGAGACAATCAAATGCTTTATATCTTTATCGATATTGCACGTGTTGAAGTAGATTTTTGCACTTTGGGGGACTAAAAATAAACACCTAATCGTGTGAAATTTTGACTTTTATTTGTGGTCGGAAGTTTTACCTCGACTCAGCAGTCGGGGCAATTTCGATACTACCCTTTGCAGCTAAAAATCAAATACACTTATTTGTAAAAGACAAGACAAGGCACAAAACAGACCATAATTTCAACTATGTAATACACAAGTTCAAAGTCATGTCCCAACTAAATTCCTCACTGTAACTGGTAATTAATGCATGACCATTCAAAGTTAAGCGGATCAAAAGTTATAATTTCGCATACAACAAAATAAATACGAGAAGAATAAAATGACAATAAACATACCATTGCATAAAATAATATTAAAAGTTCAGTTTCAAAATGAAATATTAAATTTCCGCTATAACTCATGCTTTGATATTTTAAGTTTATACGCCAGCAAATTATTCAAGACTTCACAACAATCAAACTAGAAAAAAATTTATAAAATCAATTTATCTTCTAGTACAAAGAAAACCTTTTGATGATTGCAATAAGAGCAAGACAAACAGAGATGGCAGAGTTTCTGATAGATGTCGGTATAGATTACAACCATAAAGCTAAATATTTCGTAAGTTTCAACATTTAGTCGTTTCTTCGGACCGACAAAGTTATGCTATTTCACTATACATGGAGGAACCTTAGTGTCATTGTTAACAACTATTAGTGCAATGAATATCTATAATCTTGAAAAAAAGAACATTCATTAGTAATGAACAGAACCTAATTCTGTAGAATTCCATTGGAAAAAGACTGGTTTACAAGGTGTTGTGAATAAAGTAGAAGTATAAAGAACGTGTCATACACTCCTTTTCCCTTATACGTCAAAACGAAATGACAAAGTCCATGGGGATGTTCTGAACAATCAAAAATAAGAGATGCTCAAAACATCATCTAATAAAGATATTGTTAAACAGTCACTGATCAAGGAGTTGTGGTTAGCAACGGGTCTATTCAGAATCTTCTTTTGTTATTGGATTACCCCTCCACAAAAAAAACCTTAAGTAACCCTCTTAACAATAGCGAAATATCCGACCAATGAAATTTTTAATGTTTTATCTATACTTTTTTTTAAATTCCTCTAGGTGTTTAAGAGTAACTGTTAAGTAAACGTTACATGTAGTCTATGACTTAGAACGATAGAGAACGCAAAAAGATATCTAGTGATCCTCACGCGTAGATATGAAGGCTAAGAAAATAGGACAACTAATAAACAGTAGTTTTCCATAATATCCATGTAGTATCTTGCACACTGGGTATGTTTAAAAAGTACTTGGATGCAAATAAGTCAATAAATTCGGAAGATACGCTGAGCAAATCAATGTCTTACATTTAATATTTGCTTGTTTCAATAAAGAGTTTGATGATCGCAAATTTATTGTAATCTAATGTCAACATGCAGCAAAGCCACTAAATGGCTATTTGATTTACCATTAAAATTAGTTAAATAGTGAAAATGGTAAATTCAACATTGTTTTTGATAATAAATGCGCAGATATATATTTTTTTTCATAACTGGAAATCATGCAAATCACATAAAAATCATGTATGAATTATTTTTTATTTTTTCATATAAGATTCCGTATAACAAAAACTTGAAATCAGAATTACGTTAATATTGACAGATTAGTTATAATCGAATTCTAAATGCGGCATTGACGCTTTTTCCATTTACAGGATTTAAAAGAAAAGGACAAAAAAGGTAAACGAATAAGCTGTTATGAAAGAAGTTGTCGAGATCTAGCATTCGACCTTGGAAATGACCACATTGTTGAGGTTATTGATGTTAAAAATAAAAACGTGTTTCCTTTTGTGCGAGTCGAGCCGAGACAAACATGGCAAAAACGACCTCCGCCTCCACCCTTGCCAAAACATCTTCTTCCACCCAGTGAAATTGAGAGTGAAGAGGAAGATAACGATACATCAGACGGTGAAACTGATTCTGGACATCTGAGTGCACGAAGTCAAGACAAAAATAACGAATCTTCTTTATCAGATGTTCTTGACAAGCTCAATGGTAAAGATGATGGATATGGAACAATGTCTCCCTCTATGTCGCCATGTTTAGGAAATTTTAATCCACATGTATATGTACCACCGGAAAAACCGGTAGTGATGCATAAACCGACAAAAGCGTCAATGGCGTTGCAAACACACAACAATCAATTTTATCATAGACGACTCGTCAGCAAGAGTGCTCCCTCGATGCGCAATGTACAAGTTGTTGGAAGTTACGCACACGAGAAAAAACAATGGGAACTACGTCGCGAAAAATCAGAAATGGATGATAAAATATCTGTTCAAAGTCTTCCATTTTTTCTTACTCATCCGTCATCTGCCAGTAGCAGGCGGTCATCAACTCAAACAACAGCGTCATCGCCTTTAGCAGAAGTTTCGAAGATTTTAGGACAATCGCGACTATTAAAACGAGAAACAGAGCGTCTTTCTACGCAAAGAAGTAAAACAATTATACCTTCATTAAAGATAAATCAGTGGTGCCATAACTCAAACAACGTTTTTAATAGACTTTCAAAATCAGCAACCAACAAAAGAATTCAGTGTTCTAATTTTAGCGTTAATCGCGAATTCATCCGACACCATCGGAGATGATTCTCTGCTTACGTTTACATATACATATCCACGTTAAAGTGGACATCAATTTCTAAAAATATTTAGAAGGTAGTTGAAATCATGAAATCTGGATTTTGAAATTCAGTAGCAAATATTAGTGTGTTTAAATATTAATTACAACTGTGTTGTCAAAACACCATATCTTTATCATTTATTACACGATACATTTTTCAAACTGTCGTAGTTAATTTTATTCCAGAAACGATAAAAATGGTGATATGACGATCATTTATTTCCGTACAAGAAGATTTGAAAAATATCGCATTCCTATACCAATATAGTCTTATAGTCTATAAAGAAAACCGGCTAAATGTCGGTTTTTTTTTCTGAAGAAAAAAAACAGGATTCTTAGGCTACATCATAATAATAAAACCACAGAGATAAAAAAATGTAACTAACTGTTTTTCTTTTTACCCCCTGATAGGAGAGTTTTTTATCCAAACTTATACGCTTTCAATTTTTGAGAATCTGATATCATTTCGTTTTTGATTTAGTACCTATTGACCAGACTTTGAGTGTTTTGAATTTGCTTTTTATTTATGTCTTTTTATGCTGATTTGTACAGTTTTCTCGTTGTTTTTTATATATAAAAATAAAGGGATGTGTTATGATAACCAATGTGACAACTATCCACCAGAATCAACTGACGTGGATCATGTAAACAATTATAGGTCATCGTATATATAGTCATCAGCAACAATGAGCAAAACCCATACCGTATTGTCAGCTAATAAAGGCATGCACATGACAAAATGTGAAACAATCCAAAACGCCCTGATGTATAACAAAGCAATTGATGAAACATATACGAGTGACAGCAACCAACGACAACCACCGATTTACCGACTCTTTACTTGGGACATAGACAAAGACTGTGGCAGGTTTAAACATGGTTGTGAGCGTTGGATAGTCTCCCTTTGTTTTGTTTTTCATAGTAATCTGTGGATTCTTTCGATTTTAAATCCTCCTCTATCGTAGTTGTTTCAGTATCTCCATCTTGTTGTATCTGTTTTGATCTGTTATGATCATGAACCTATTTTCACGTGTTATTTCCTGTAATTATCATGAAACTATTTTCACGTGTTATTTCCTGTAATTATCATGAATCTATTTTCACGTGTTATTTCCTGAAATGGTCTATGTTTGTTAGTGTTGTATAATAGTGTTATTTGTCGGGTAGTGAATGAAAGTATGTACAGACAATTTTGACAGTTTTTTTCATAATTTTTCCCTCGTTTGTATTTTAATACACATGTATAGGTTATACATATAAAAAAGAACCCCAGTAATGGACGCTATGGGTCGTCATGATCATGATTTAAGGGATGAAGACTACATACAGATCATGGTCAACATATGTAGAGACACATAACACCAATTTAAACTCTGTTTCTTTGATATATATGTAATTGTTTTTTTATTTGATACATATTTTCACCCCCTTTTTGTTTGATAGTTTCCAAATTATACCACGTGTTAAGTAGTCATTGTATAGGCACCTACTTTAATTTACAGAGCCAGTGTTATATATTATCAGCTGACAAATTCTGTTCATTTTGCAAAATACTCATGTTACAGCAGAGTTGACCGTAGATAGTTCAGGTCAAGGTCATATGACTCCACATAATATATTCTACTTTGCATGTTCTTACTTTTGGCTGTGAGCGTTCTGTATAAAGGATAATTAAAGACGTGCGTCAAATAGCGTTGATTTAGATTTGAATAAATATATCATTGTATCTGATCATATAGTCGGGAAGTGGATTATTGTTTTATCCATATTTTTACGGTTTTAATTAAATTTGTTTGGTCTTTACATTTTTACTATATAGATACATCTTTTGTTTGACGTTGTTTTGATCGAAGTCAAACATACCAAATACATTGCATTCAAGGATTACCAAATAAATTCATACATCTACAATCAGCGATCAAATGACGGCATACAGATCGAAATTATTACTATGAAACTGTATGCTGAAAGATTTAAGCATGCGCATTAATATAACCAAAAAAGTACAGTGCATGAATAAGGGAAACAGATACTAAGGGGAGGGGCAATCGAAAAAAAAACCACCAAAAGGTCAACAAAATAAACACCGCAAGGAGTTTGTTAAACACTTCTCAGGATATGAAAGATTGAGCAACAAAAATAGGGATGAACTCAGGTGCCATGAAAGGATGAACATTTTCTGTTCATCTAGTGATGATGCTCATGTAAAGTTACAATCTGGTTATAAAGTAGACTACGGTAAACGTTTAATGACAGGAGTGCATATATAATATTAACAAAAAGAACACTTTAAATATTTCTCGCCCAACTGGACTGGACTGCCAACACCGCGTCCAACGTTAAAGAGCGGAGAGGGTTCAACTGCATGACGGAAACTCTGCAGCATAGTATATCGAATATAATAGAGCTCAAAAATAGTTGGATGCTAAAATATTTAAATTTACAATTAGCCAAAAAAGTACCCGTATGTAGAACGTTATTTTTCATGGGAAAACAGTCTCATGTACTGTGAAGGGTTTTAACAAAAGTATACATTTATTCAAAGTGGAAAGCGATCCCACTAGCAATGATGACGTTATCCAGGAAACATTAAGGATAATTCAGACCGGACTGATGGACGGGTAAAAAACACTCAGCAAATTCATTTCGCGGAATGTAATAATTCAACAACGTCAAAGATCATTACAATATTTGAATTAACCTTAAAAGTGTGTAAAAAGAAGCATAACTCTAAATTGAAAGAAACTGAAAAAATAATTTAGTATTTGGTTATACACGCATAAATTGATAATGACAAGAAATTAAAATTACGCATACCATTTCCAACGAATCCGGATTATTTTTATTATACAAATATTGTGCAAGGCAAACTATTCACTGGTAATAATAATAAACACGTATTTTTTTGGACAATGCAAATATGAATCTATCGCATTCCTCGTCAATATGTCATCAATGTCCAGGAGGCATTTGAACTGGATAGATGTCTCATTGGCAATCATACCACATCTTCTTATTTTATATTCATAATTAACTGTTAAATAAAAAGTTAGAAATAAAATTCAAACGTAGTGCAAGAAACAGAACATCCCATGGGCATTGTTTTATCTATAAATATTGATTGATTGATTGTTCGTTCGTTTGTGTTAAACTTATCACACTTGGCTACACCATGGCGGCCAGTTTTATTTGGTGGAGGAAGCCTGGATTCCCAGGAATAACCATTGACATTCGTTACCCATAAAGTAATTGTCATCTGATTTTATGCCAAATAAGTCGAAATAATCTTGGTAACATTTAAGCAAACGAATCGCTGATTTAATATCCATTTTCTAGTTATTTTTTTTTACAATTTTCACTGCATTGCCAAACAAGGAATAAGAAAACTTTGGTAAACCGAATATCAATAGAACCATTTTTGAGTTCATTTGGTAAATGGCGAATAAGTTATCAATCTAAATCCATTTGTTTTCTTAGAAATTAGTCCAATAGGTGAGAATCGAAGATTATAAAAAAAGGTTTAAGCTTGATTGACCCTGCCATCCTTTTCATGCTCAACATATTTTAGCTTTTGTGGTGTTTTGCTGAACCGACAACACATTATTATATCTATAGATCTCACCTATTGGCTTACTTCCTACGAAAACAAATGGATTTAGATTGATAACTTATTTGTCATTTACACTGTAAATCAGTCAGTATAAAAAAACATACAATGTAAATAGAGGTGGCCTTAAATTCTGAGGAAGACCCAAAGTGAAGGGAGGGGTATTTTACAGAATTTTAGTATAAGTGTAAACTCTTAGAAGTTCGGGGCATATAAATGTTGAAAATATGCCGGACAGCCCTATATTTTGACCTTTGAAAAAAAAATAGCAGTGCATATGAGCTTTCCATTCTAGGATATACTTTTTTACGAAACTTCATAGTAAAAGTGGTACGGTTTTAGCCGTAAAAGGAGTTCCTATGGGAAATTACATTGTCTATATTTACAGAAATGCAACCTATAAAGACACTAAACAATTATTGTCTTTATCCTGCAATTCATTGTGTACATTGTTTTTGCTGTGAAAGACAGAAAATCTCACATTCATTGCATTTATTTTCGAGTTTAAAATCCTTTGAGGCCCGCGTAGTAATATTTAAACAAATTCACACCATCAGCTGATGACCGGTATGCCGAAAAGAATCTCGCAACAATAATACATCGCTCAAAGTTAATAATCATTTATTATAACATAACAACTAATTTCAACAGTTGAAAGAAATAGCAAAACATTGTCCGATTTAAGACAAAAGTGTTTGATTTGTCCTACGCTTCAGAATTTCGAACTGTCCGTGCATTCACTGATTATTGACATTGTTGCATGGTTGATTTTATACACATAGACTGGCGCCGTAGACGATGGAGTTAATCCTGCTGTTCTTGTTTGTCTATGAGCGAAAAATGGTTTGCGGATCGGAGACTGGAACATTGACAGATGGAGCAATACGTCATTGGAATGCGATTGCAATACACATTCTGAGGTCACAAAAGTTCATATAACACTCGTCAACAGCAATACACAAAAATAATCCTGGAGTGGGCGGAGCTTTAAAGCGACATCTGTACATCTCTTCCATGTGCATGTGTAAGAGATAAATTAGTCCTGGTAAAATGTGTCCTGACAGACAAATATTACTAGTTTAAAAAGTCCATAGTTACAAAATTTATTAGTATATTTAGTCCGATGTCAGTAATTTATGTCCGCAGACTAATTTTCCAAGGAATTTATGTCCATGTCATCAATATTCCTATGTGAAAACGTCCATGTCCTTTATTTTACTTACTAGGAAAATGTGTAATAAAAGAAATCATTTACATGTAAACAATGATTTTTTTAATTCTTTTGTTTTAATGCTGTTCAACAGTTGTGCATTAATCTTTTAATAAAATTTATGTGCCAAGACTAATTTTCCTAGGAATTCATGTCCAGGTCATTTATATTCCTAGGTAAAAACGTCCATGTCTTTTGTTTTAATAAGAAATGTAATAAAAGAAATCATTTACATGTAACCTTGAACGTAAAATAACACAAAAAATTAACCAAGTTATTGACAAACGAATTTCAACGGAAGTATCCAAAGTGAAAAAAGATGTAAACTTGGCTGTCGATACTTTGCGTCAGGATTTTGACCAGGACTTAAAAATTGAGGACAAATTAAATGATATTTCTAAATCTGTGAAGCACACTGGAGAAAAAGACATGTCCTATAATTTAGTGGTCCGAAATTTACCCGAAAGTGCGAACGAAAATCTGAATTCAAAAATTTCTGCCTTGATGATGGAAGGTCTAAAGATACAAACAATTTCGTTTTCCAGTGTCGAACGTAAACGTAGCCGAAATGAAAACAAAAGTGGAGTAGTGATTATTACATGTAAGTCAAAAGACGATCTCAACCAAATCATGTCTTTAAAAAGTAATTTAAAGTTCAGTCGACAATATAGCGACGTTTACATCCATAAAGATCAAAGTGTTCAACAGCGTATTAAGCGGAAAAATTTTCAAACTATTGTTGATGTTTTAAAATCATTTGATTCCGAAATTGACATGAAAGGAGCTGAAATTATAGCCAAACGGTATGTTAACCACCAACAATCAAGACGAGAAGGAAATTTTAACAGAGACATGCAAAAATCACGTAATGAACACAGTAACAACCGTCATCATCGCGCTGAAAATAGGAGTCAACTTGACATGCACAATAATATCTATACTGGAAGACGTAACGACTACAACAGCGACACCAGACGAGAACAAAGAGACAGAAATGGTGAACAGTATAGGCACACGATACAGGGTAGATGGTAGATATCAGCCGGGTTTTGGAATGTGAATAATTGGAATAAAAACACTTTTTCTGAAAATTACAAACTTAGAACTGATTGTATAAACATGTTGAATTTAGATATTGTAGGTGTATGCGAAACACATTTAAAGTACGATGACGTTTTACATGTAAATAGTTATAACTGGATTGGTCAAAATAGAAAACATTTACATAAAAATGCTAAGACTGGTTCTGGTGGGGTAGGATTATTTGTTAAAACATCTTATTACGAGATGTTTGATATTGGAGTGTTAGACACATCCTTTGAGGGTATTTTGTTTGTCTCTTTCAAACATAAAAATCTAGACTTTAAAGTTAATGTGTGTGTAGCATATTTGCCTCCGGAAAACTCAACACGACAGGTTGATAAAGATGTATTTTTTGACACACTAATTACACAGGTGTATGAGCATCAAAATTCTGGTCCCTTTTTTATTTGTGGAGACTTTAATAGTAGATGTGGAGAAGAAAACGATTATATTGTTGGTGTCGATGATCTTTGTCCAAGAGATGTAGTTGATTTTAAATGTAATTCTTATTGTAACACATTTATTGATTTTTTAATAATCGTGAACTGTTGTATACTTAACGGTAGAAACTTTGTTAACAATGATTATACATGTATATCAACAAAAGGCTGTTCAGTGGTAGACTACTGTATTGTACCATATGATTATTTACATCTATTTAGCAATTTTGCAGTGATAAGAGCTAATGACCTGGTGACCCTGGCGGGTTATGATTCACCAGGTGTGGATTTAAAGTTGATTTCTGATCATTCGTTGATTACACCCAATTTACAATAACCTTGACAAATCTCACTACTACCCTTGTTTGTAGTCTGCTCGACTGTCTTCTCTTCTACTTGATTGTCTATTATTGTCCTTTGTATCCCAATAAATTCTTTAGAAAACTATTTAGTAATGCTTCGA